GTCCAGCTTCAGGGTACTCCTTAAGCCCTCTCTGATTCAACTCTAGCAAACTGCTCTGTAACTGTGTCTCACATCCACCTGTGTGTCTTCATGTTGTCAGGTGTGAGCCACCTTCAGCTAAGCATTCCTGGGGGTGGCAGAGCACATTGCCAGTAGACACTTGAGTGTGCATTCATGTGACCTGCCAAGTATATTGGAAGTCTGGCTTCTGAAATCACACTGAGAAGAATGTTGGTCTAAGGGTCAGAATGGGGTTTCCTTTCTGATTCTCCTGTGTGCCTCACACTTGACTGATCATGGTCAAAGCTGGGGACATTACCTATTTCAGTTGGCACCACAGGAACTGCTCAGTTATTGTCATGATTAAAGGAGACTGCAAGTGCATATGCCAAAGTAGCTTGCCAACTGTACAAGAGGAACTGTGGCATGTAATATATTTGTTGTCAAAATCCTTGTTTCTTCCTGGAACAATGGAACTTGGTTCAAAAGCTTCAAAGGGGGTAGGACTCCAGACTTCCCTGGCTTTACTACTTCACCTCAGGGCAAAGGAAATTGGTCTTTACCTTAGCTGGAACCTGAAAGAGAAGTCACTGTTTTGAGACTCATAAATTCACTGCAGATTTGCTAATGGAGATGCCTTTAGGGAGAGAGACCTACAAGCTGATATTACTCTCCCTTTCCCTCTCCTTTTCTCTCTCCCTCTCCCACTCCTTAATCTTGGGGTTTTAGAGCTTCTTACAATAGCAACATCATTTATTGGGAAGGAAGCAGTATACCCACCCTGCTGAGAATAAGTACTAGCCCCAACCCTTAGTTCCTAAGTGATGCCTCCTCACTTAAGCTTTAATTTTCTCATTGTTCTGTATTTACAGTGATGTTTATAGTAACAGAGCTACCTTCCGAGGCTGTGGAGAGCATTCATTCATTGATGTAGCATATGAAAAGCATTTAGAGAAGTACTTGGAGGCCACCTGCTAGGTACTCAGTAGTTGATAGTTGTATTATGCTGAAACTTTTGTTGTGCTAGCTAGGTGCTACTAAGCTTGAATTACTTCCCCAAATCCTTTGGTGGTACTGCTGTCCCATTCTTATATTATGGACAAACAGACTGAGGCTTTCTTGCTCAAAATTGTAGACTTAGTTAATGCCAAGATTTAAATCTTAGTCCCTCAGCATCCCGAATCTGTGCCATCTCTTGACTATTGTATAATTGGATTGTCTGTCTTATACATCAGATGAGCTTTTTTTTTTCTTTCCTTCTTTTGAAAGAAAGTACTGAGAGATTACTAACATGATTGGAATGAAGGAGATGAGATGTAAGTAGTAAGATTCTGGATAACCTCTCAAGAAGGTTCTAAGATTATTAACATGTACTATAGCCCAATGTTGATGACTTGTATTAGGTAAAAAGGCTTACTCTTCAAGCTCCTAGGGGTCAGGAGAGCTGGTCTGTGGGGCTAGGTAGTTTTCCAGGGTAGAAGCACAGCCAACTATTCTAATTCCACACTTTCTTACAATGAACACTGCAGTTTTGTCACCCGTAGTCATTTGTTTCCTCTCTTCATTTACCATTCTGTTACTTTAAAAGGGCTAAAAGCTGCCAAGATTGGAATGAAAAGGCAAAATTCTACCTCTGAGGGTCCCCAGAGGGGCAGCAGTTGTCCAGAAAAGCTGGCCTCCTGGAGTATAAAGTGTCCACTTCCTGTTTGAATGCTTGAGTCAAGAGTTTGCCTGGCTGCTGGCTGCCTGACCTTCATTCACTGCAGCGTTGACTTCAGATGTTTCTCTGACATGCAGGAAGTGGTGATTTTCCAGCCACCTGCAACTAACTTGATGCCTACCCGGTGAAATGCTTTGTTCCTGAAGTCTGCACCAGGAAATCAGGACTTCTGTTATCACTCAGCAGAGGCGGGGGTGGGGTCCTGGAACACAGGGGCTGTTCTCTGCCTTCTTTGCTTAGCAGCAGGATACTGTTGATCTGGTTCTTCCCATCCTGGTACTCAGATTCCCCCAAATTCAGCCTTTTGGAAAAGATTAGTTCCCACACCCTCATTCTCTATTCATTACGCATCTTCAGTGTGTCATGGCACGAGGTTGGGTTCTAGTATCTTTATATTCCAGTTCAATACTTTATTATTTTATTTTTTGGGTACTGCCCATGAGCTCTTTTTGCTTCAAGGCTAGCACTGTACCTCTTGAGCCACAGCTCCACTTAGGGCTTTTTGTGGTTAATTGGAAACAAGAGTCTAATAAGCTTTCCTATTCTGGCTGGCTTTGAACCATGATCCTCAGATCTTAGCCTCTTGCCTAGCTAGGATTACAGGCATGAGCCACCAGCTCCTAGTAGTGCTTTACTTTTTAAATAAATACATAAATAAATGAGGAAGCTAGGCTTAAGGAGCTACATGGCTTGTGTGAAGTTATGCAGCTAGAACTAGGTTTCTCTGATCCATATCCAGTGCTTTCTTCCCACCTGTTTTCTCTCTTTTCCTCCCTTCTCTCTGTCCTAGTTTTGTGTGTGTGTGTGTGTGTGTGTGTGTGTGCGTGCGCGCGTGTGTGTTTTGCTGGTCATGGGGCCTGAACTCTGGGCCTGGGCGCTGTCCCTCAGCTCTTCAGCTCAAGGCTAGTGCTCAAGCCAGATTGACACTGCTGGCTTTTTCTGCTTATGTGGTGCTGAGGAATCAAACCCAGGGCTTCATGCATGCAAGGCAAGCACTCTACCACTGAGCCACCTTCCCAGCCCCTTGGTTTTTTGTTTTGGTGCTGGCACCCTGGGCCTCCCTCTCTTGCTGGCTTTTTGGCTCATGCTGGAGCTCTACTTGAGCAACACTTACACTTCCAGCTTTTTGCTGGTTAGAGATCCTCAGATCTAAGCCTCCTGAGTAGTCGGCATTATAGATGTGAGCTACCTACACCATCTCCAAATTGCCTTTTTCTTTTCTTTTCTTTTCTTTTTGTGCCAGTCCTGGGCCTTCAACTCAGGGCCTGGGTGCTGTCCAAGTATCTTTGCTCAAGGTTAATGCTCTAACACTTTGAGCCACAACTCCACTTCTAGTTTGTCTAGTGATTAATTGGAGATAAGAGTCCCACTTTCTGCTCTAGCTGGCTTTAAGTCACGAGCCTTAGATCTCAGCCTCTTGAGTAGCTAGGATTACAAGTATGAGACTGGCTCTAAGTTGCCTTTTAGCTGAAATTTCCCTCAGACACATCTTCACTCCTTGCTGTGTGTGGCTAAATGTTTCTCAGCTCTCTTGACATTTCCAGCCAGCTAATTGAGGGGATAAAGGTGGGGAAGGAGAGGCTGTCCTATGCACTGTAGAATGTCTAGCAGCATCCCTGACTTCTGCCCACTAGTTGCCAGCAGCACTACCACTCATGACAACCAGAATGCCACTAGACACTGCTAACTGCTGCTAAAAGGCAAAATCATCCCCAGCTGAGACCAACTGATTTAGCTTTACCCTTTTTCTCAGCCTCCATAGCAAGAGGGTCTGTGTATTATGGATACTCACGGCATAAACTGCTTTGCTGTTGAATCTGGCATGGGTCCCTAAAGGGGCGAGCCGAGCCAGGGTTCCTCAGGCTCTTGTCATCCAGGGTCTGAGAGACACTCTCAACCCTTTTCAGAGTTCCAGAAACAGTCTAGAAAGGAAAGGAGCTGGCACAGCTGGGTCTTTGGTGCCTCTTCTAAGAAAGAAGTCTATCATCCATCCATCCACCCACCCATCAATCAATCCATCACTGGTCAAGAAGCTCTGCCTTATGCTCATCACACTTACCCTTAGAGGTGTGGGCTTCCCTCCTTGCATTCATTCTGATGGAAGGCAAGGATGAATGGTTAAGGGGAGAGCTGGGCCAGGTAACAGGAAAGGAAGAAGGGTGGCAATTTAGAACTAACTCCTTTCCTGGTGCAGCCCAGCCTGAGGGTAGGGCTCAGCTGAGGGGACAAGGAAGCTAGGGGGAGAGATGAGCCTTGAGCCTGGCCCTCTCTTTCCCCCAGCTGCAGCAGCCCAGCGGGTTAGATGAATGGGAGAGTGACCCTGGCAGAACCCTTTGTTCCAGCTGAGGCTGGAGCTGGGGCACTGAGCCATTCACACGCTATCCACAGGGCATCCTGCTGGGCATGCTGGGGAGGGGGCACAGCAGCCGGTCATGGGACTTGGCCAGGCAGATAGCTTGATGCTCAATAGGGAAGCCCAGCTGCGCGCTGCTGAAGCTGGGGGAGGGGCTGTCTGCCAGCCTTCCTCTAAGCTGTGTCCTGTCCCACAGGAAGGCCCTAGCTGGGCCCATTTATTCTGCCTTGAGGTGTCCCAGTCGCTTCCAGCTTGTAGCCCCCATGTGGATTCCTTAACCCTAAGAGGCTTCAGCATTTTTTTTTCTTTGTCGGTCATGGAGCTTGAACACAAGGCATGGGTGCTGTCCCTGAGCTTTTCTGCTCAAGGCTAGCACTCTACCACTTTGAGCCCCAGCTCTACTTCCAGTTTTCTAATGGTCCCAATTGGAGATAAGAGTCTCAAGGACTTTCCTGCTTGGGCTGGCTTCATACCACAATCCTCAGATCTCAACCTCCTGAGTAGCTAGGACTGGGTGTGAGTCACCAGCACCCAGCTGGCCACAGCATTTTAATCCACTATTTCTTGTCTTTCCTGGATAGGTAAAGATAAGAGACAGGAGCATCCACATCTTAACCTAGTTTTGGAGAGAAACATAGGGAGACCTGTCAGCATCTCCCCTCTATCTCCCCCTCTGCCATCATTTTTCTCCAAGCTTGTGTAAAAAATTTCTGTCACGATGGGGGTACCTGGACTGCCAGTGAGCAAAAACTGAGGGTATCTTTTAGACTATTTCTACCTAGGAGGCAGTGAGAAGGCATCATCACATTCTTGCAGTGTCACGTGGCTCCCTGGGTGACAGTGTTGTTTGCAACAGCTCCTTGCCCTGGTATGGGCTTTGGTTGAGTGGGAGTTGACTACTCATTGGTTCCTTTTTCCTCTGCCCAGGCCTAGCCAGCAGCCCTGAGTGTGCTTGTGGTCGGAGCCATTTCACTTGTGCAGTGAGTGCCCTTGGCGAGTGTACCTGCATCCCTGCCCAGTGGCAATGTGATGGAGATAATGACTGTGGGGACCACAGTGATGAAGATGGATGTAGTAAGTACCATGGCAGCCATGGTGGGAGGTGATAGAAGAGGGACATAGGATTGGGGTCAACACAAGGCTGATGGAGTGTTCTATACATATACTAGACTCAGAGAGTTGTACTCTTTCAAGGATGACAGGTATTGATAAAGACATGGTTTCTCCCAGTATGTGTGCCTCAAACCATCTGTATCTCTCTCTGTCTCTGTCTCTGTCTCTCTCGATCAGTCATAGGGTTTGAACTCTGGACCTGGGCACTGTCTCTTAGCTCTTCAGCACAAGGCTAGTGCTCTACCACTTGAGCCATAGCACCACTTCCAGTGTTCTGGGGATTGATTGGAGATAAGAGTCTCATGGACTTTCCTGCCTGGGCTGGCTTTGAACTGCAATCCTTAGATCTCAGCCTCCTGAGTAGCTAGGATTATAAGCGTGAGTCACTGGTGCCCAGCTCCACCTATATTTCCATTAGATGGGTCATGCTATATGTCCAATAAGACAAACTTTGAACCAGTATGGAAGAAAATACCCTGAAAACCATAGAGTAGTCTCCTTTAAAGATCTCTGTTTATATGAAAATGTTTACATTATATGTATTGCCATTTTGTGCATCTTGAAATTCATATATTATACTTAGATGGAATTATTTTCATGTTTCTTATATTGATTTATATAATCACAGATTTGTTTTTTCTTTTTCTTTTAAAATTTTTGGTTTGGTGTTGGTTCTGGGGCTTGAACTTAGGGGCTGGGCAGTATTCTTTAGCATTTTTTGCTCAACAACTTAACAATAACAATAAAATTATATATATATATATATATATATATATTTAAACAAAAACTAGAAACAGAGCTATGACTCAAGTGGCAGAGACTAACTTTGAGCAAAAAAGCCCAAGGACAACTAGTGCTTAGGTCCTGAGTTCAGGCTCTTGGACCATCACCACGAAAGAAACAAACAAAACCCAAAACTTAAATTTCCCTCTTCCCTACTGTAATAAGATGTGAGGATGGGCCAGACTGTCTTGTCTTGAATAATATATCATTCCTATGCCATTGCCTGAGTTTAGGGCTACAGTCTCTGACCTGAAGTATCTTCACCTGATGATGATAATTAGTCTAATGAGAAAGAAGCCACAACCTAGACTTGATTAACCCTAACTGGTTCAGCTAATTGTGATAATGATAAATGCTTCACTTACATGTAGCACTTTCATACGCATTATCTCAAAAGACCTCTATGAGTGGAGTGTAATTACCCACATTGTATAGTCAAAGAGACTATCACTCAGAGGAGGTAAATGACTTGCTCAGTGTGATGAGTAATGAGCTCTAGAACTGGAAATTGAGCCCAGATGTGTCAATCATCATTGAATAAAAGGAAAGAAAAAAAAAGACACTTCTTTCTCTTGCCCATGTTTTTCTTATTGCTTTCTTTGTGACGTGGAATTCTCTGAGTTGGTTTTCCATTGCCCTGTGGATCCCTGGCATGATTCCCTTCTACTTCTTGTTTCTAGCTAAAGTTTTCTTTTTCTTTGTATTCTGTTTTTCACTCCTTTTTTCCTTCATTTTTTGGCAATTCTGGGGTTTAAACTTATACTTCCTCAGCTGACACTCTACTACTTGTGCCACACCTCCAGCTCTACTTTTGCGGGTTATTTTTCAGATAGGGTCTCACTTTCCCACCCAGGTGAGCACTTTTGCCCTGTCTGCCTACTTTAGGCTTTCCATTGCTAGGATCACAGGTGCATAACACCATATCCAGCTTCCCTTCATTTAAATGGACTCTTGTGTTCGGTTCTAGCTGGACTGGCTATGAATTTTGATCTTCACAGTCTCAGGAACCCACATAGCTTGGGATGACACACACACGTGCCACCGTGCCCAGCTATGGATTGAGAAGGGGGTCTTGTGAACTTTTCTGCCCACCGACTGGCCTCAAACCATGATCCTCCCAATCTCAGCCTCTCAAGTGATAGAGAAGAGCCACCAGTGCCCAGCTTAGCTGTAGTTTCTGCTTATCACCTCCATCTGCTGGAGGCAGGCATAGGAGTCCATGAGGAAGGCCTACAAGACAGATGGGGGCAGGTTGGTTGAGGGTTTGGGAACTGGCATACTAGGAAAGGATTTCTGGCTCACTGTAGCTTGTCTGACAGATCCACTTTTCCCTTCTTCTCTTGGGCTCAGTGCTGCCCACCTGTTCCCCTCTGGATTTTCACTGTGACAATGGCAAGTGCATCCGCCGCTCCTGGGTGTGCGATGGGGACAACGACTGTGAGGATGACTCCGATGAACAGGACTGTCGTGAGTGTTGGCAGGGCCCAGACAGACACCCTCACTCAAGCTTTGTTGGTGATTTCCCATCAGAATGTGATACTCTGAACCCGTGCAGATTTTTAGATATCGTCCTATCCTTTTACCTCCTCTCTTGGTCAGTTAAGCCAATCCCCTGCAGAGTCCTAGAGAGCAACTTGACTGCTCAGGAAGACTTTGTGTGGGGCTTGTAGGCACTGGGCCCTCTGCCTACCACAGCCTGTCTGCTCTGTGTCCACAGCCCCCCGAGAGTGTGAGGAAGATGAGTTCCCCTGCCAGAATGGCTACTGTATCCGGAGCTTGTGGCACTGTGACGGCGACAATGACTGTGGGGACAACAGCGATGAGCAGTGTGGTGAGTGGTACCTGAGGGGGAGGAAGGTAGGAGCCTGGTGTGGGGCTGGCCCCTGGAAGGAGACAGCAGCCCTGGTCCAACACTGCCCAGTCTTGAACTGGCCCCAGGGGATCTGGAACATCTGGAGGAAGACTAGAGGGCAGAACAGTCCAGGCCCACCAAGAATTCTCTGGTTCCAAGGACCCGGGAGACTAGGAGTCAGGGAAGATGGTTAAGAGGGGTTCCCATGGGGCTCTCTCATTATGGTTGGTTGTCTCATTGCACCCTTCTAGACATGCGCAAGTGCTCAGACAAAGAATTCCGCTGCCGTGATGGGAGCTGCATTGCTGAGCACTGGTACTGTGATGGTGACACGGACTGCAAAGATGGCTCAGATGAGGAAAGCTGTCGTGAGTGTCCCCAGATCTTCGTCTGCTGGATTGAGGGGAGGATGGTGGGCTCCATCTCCTCAGATAAGGACCAGGCTGAGGAGTGAGTCTTCACTGCTGAAAACTGCAGAAGCATGGCCTAAACACAATTGTTGGAAGTCTGGCACCAGTGGCTCAGACCTGTAATCCTAGCCACTCATGAGGCTGAGATCTGAGGATCAAGGTTCAAAGCCAACTGGGGCAGGAAACTCACTTAGCCTCTTATGTACACTTAACTATCCCCTCCCCACCCCAAAAAATGCTAAAAGTAGAGCTGTAGCTCAAGTGGTAGCAATTGCTAGCCTTGAACAAAAAAACTCAGGGACAGCACCCAGACCTTGAGATCAAGCTCTAGGATGAAACAAACAAAAAAAGAGGCTGCTGGGCTGAGCCAGGGTGGGAACTGGAGCCCCAGGTGGGGAGAATTGATTATCTACCTGTGATTGATCGGAGGCTGTCCCACATGAATCCCATTTACAACTCTCTCAAGGAAGCCACTGGCCTGAAGGTTTGGGGCCCTTAGAGGAGTCAGGCCTGAGTGTTGGCCTTCCCTGCCTCTGCCTCCCTTCCAGCCTCTGCAGTGCCTGCTCCCCCCTGCAACCTGGAGGAGTTCCAGTGTGCCTATGGCCGCTGTATCCTTGACATCTACCACTGTGATGGTGATGATGACTGTGGAGACTGGTCGGACGAGTCTGACTGCTGTGAGTGCTCTGGCCAGCTGGGAGGAGGGGCAGTCAGGCTGGCAAGGCACAGGTGCCAACTGGGGCAGGCACTGGGGGGGGGAGTTTCAGGATTCCTAGTCTCTCTTAGGAAGAGCTGGGGGTAGGGGGGGTGAAGGGGTGGGGGCGGGAGCTAGATCTTTCTGGGGCTCTCTGTGCACAGACTGGCGAGAGACAGAAGACTTTTGTTTCCTCAGCCTCCCACCAGCCCTGCCGCTCTGGGGAGTTCATGTGTGACAGTGGCCTGTGCATCAATGCAGGCTGGCGCTGCGATGGAGATGCAGACTGTGATGACCAGTCTGATGAGCGCAACTGCAGTAAGTAGGGGAATAGCACCAAAGGCAGGAAGTAAAGGCGCAGACTCCAGGGAGGAGCTATGGAGCCAAATAGGCCACTATCAATAACCTTGAAGATCTATTGGATAAAACTGCCAGGCATAGTGTGTGTAGGTTGTATTCTGCTCAAAGGGATACCAATTGCATAACATCATTTTTTTTTAAGTTACTTTTATTTTTTAACATGGTACTGAGGAATCAAACCCAGGGCCTCATGCATACTAGGCAAGCCACATTCCTAGCCCCCAGTAGATGTTACATTTATATACACAGCCTGGCAGTTTTCCAATAGGTGACAGGAAAAGGTCTTGAGAAAAGGGTACCTTTTTTTCTGACTCACACAAAGATGCCAGGTAGATCAGCTGACACTGGTGTCAAAAAGAATGATCTAAGGGCTGGAGATTTATTTCAAGTGGAAGACTGCCTGCCTAGCAGGCACAAAAGCCCTGAATTCAAACCCTATTACGGCAAAAACAAAAAGAAGAAAAGAAGAATGACCTGGGTACTGATCCGAAGTCTGGCTTTGAGTGGCAGGGTGGAGTTTCAGCCTGAAGTGGGGCTAACTTTTCCATTCGGCCTTTGCTTTGCCCAGCCACCTCAATGTGCACAGCTGAACAGTTCCGCTGTCAGTCAGGCCGCTGTGTCCGCCTGTCCTGGCGCTGTGATGGGGAGGATGACTGTGCAGACAACAGCGATGAAGAGAACTGCGAGAACACAGGTGGAGTTTCCCGGGGTGTCCCAGAATACTCACCTATAAGGGAGACGAGGAAGAAGAGGGAATCACTGCTATTTTCTCAATTAGATGGAAGTGATATTTCATTACTATCTTTCCCATGGCCTGAATAATTTCTGCCCTACCCAAGCCCCAGGGTTAAATCCAGGTGCATCATTGACCTGCATCCTTACAGTCTAGAACACAGGGCCGGTCAGGGCTGTGAGAATCAGTGGCTGCTCTCGCTGGCATACTGAGGAAGAAGTATCCTCATGCCACGTGGTACTTGGCATGTTGGCATACCTTTTAAATTCCCTCTTAATCCCTCATGCACTGTGGTGTAAAGGGAAGAAAATGAGCAGACAGTTAGCCATTCTTGTCTGAGATGTTTCCTGCCTTACATACTCCCAACCCTCCCACCTTTTGTCTCATCTGTTTCCAGCTCACCGTAGAAAATGACAGGTTCCCCTTTCTTGTGGACCCAAGCTTTGCCCTGTGGTGACTTGACTTTCCTTTCTCTTTCTAGGAAGCCCCCAGTGTGCCTCTGACCAATTCCTGTGTTGGAACGGGCGTTGCATTGGGCAGAGGAAGCTGTGCAACGGGGTCAATGACTGTGGTGACAACAGTGACGAAAGCCCACACCAGAACTGCCGTGAGTGTCCCCAGTGGTCAGATCTGGCCCATGATTTGTGGCTGAGCCCCACCCATTCGGTTCAAAGGGAATTCTTCCCAGGGACTCTTGCAACTTTTGGGAGCTGTTCTTCGTGGTCCAGGTGAAATGCCAAGTTGGCATGTCTGGGGGTGGATTCTGGGCTTAACTCCCAAATCTGGTTTGGCTGGCATAGGGCCTCGGACGGGTGAAGAAAACTGTAGTGTTAACAACGGCGGCTGTGCCCAGAAGTGCCAGATGGTTCGGGGGGCAGTGCAGTGTACCTGCCACACGGGCTACCGACTCACTGAGGATGGGCGCACATGCCAAGGTGAGCTGGGGCCTACTTTGGAGCAGGATGCTAGGCAGGGACAACACCGAGACAGCTGGGTTTCCAGACATCTGATGCCCGTGACCTCGTTTTATTAGTGCAATAACTCTTAGAAGGATCATTCCTCGCATTTGACAGATAGGAGGAACTGAAGCTCTGAGAGGTTAAGTAACTTGCCAGAGGTCACACAGCTAAAGAGTAGCCAAGGCGGGATTCTAGCCTATGTCTACGACTGCCGAGCCCTCAAGCAATTATTACATAACCTCTCCACTAAATCCTGGCTGAGGATGCAGCCAGGAAGGCAGCTAGTTAGACTGGGAGTTAGGTGTGAGGGGAAGATGACTAGAAGAGACCTCCTGACTCTACCTGATGTTTGCAGATGTGAACGAATGTGCTGAGGAGGGGTACTGCAGCCAGGGCTGCACCAACAGTGAAGGAGCCTTCCAGTGTTGGTGTGAAACAGGCTATGAATTACGACCTGACCGGCGCAGCTGTAAAGCTCTAGGTAAGGGAGTTGGCACCTGGCTGTGTGGGCCAACGACTGAGTAGAAGAACGCCATGTGCTTTAGAGCTCAGGGATTTGTTGAGAGAGAAACAGAATGTCTGACATAGTAAAACAAATAGTTTTTCTTGTCCCTAAGTAAAGGTACTGTTTGAAAAAGGGAGAAAGGAGAGGAGGAATGGACTAGATTAGGAGGTGGATTTTTGGTCAAGTATACTATGTGCAGGTATAGAAATATCACCATGAAATCCCTTCATACTACAAATAGATACTCATTCAAAACCATAATGATTAAAAAGAAAAAGAAGCAAAAATTATCCTGGGGTGGAGTAGACGAGATTTCCTCTCTTCTGGTGGGAATGGCTGGCAGCCTGGGGCATGCCCAGGTGGTGAAGGAGCCCTAGCTATCAGCTGAAGATCTAGGGGGACATGCTGATGGGAATCCGGCAGCTCTGCAGCTCAATGGGGTCACATTTCTATGCCTTATCCTAGGGCCTGAACTTGTGCTTCTGTTTGCCAATCGAATCGACATCCGGCAGGTGCTACCGCACCGCTCTGAGTACACCCTGCTGCTGAACAACCTGGAGAATGCCATTGCCCTGGACTTTCACCACCGGCGCGAGCTGGTCTTCTGGTCTGATGTCACCCTGGACCGCATCCTCCGTGCCAACCTCAACGGCAGCAATGTGGAGGAGGTTGTGTCTACTGGACTAGAGAGCCCAGGTAGGGAACGAGGTGCTGTGGGGATGATCAGGGCCATGCTGAAAAGCAGTGATGGAAGGAAGAGACAGGCCAGTATTTATGAAACTTATTCACTGTCTCTTTTCTACCAGTGAGATCTTGGGTGGAACTCTGATATAGAAAACATGTGAGCCAGATGTTTAGAGGTGGCTCACCCCTCTAATCCTAGCTACTCAGACTGAGAACTGAGGATCGTGGGTTCAAAGCCAGTCTGGGCAGGAAAGTCCTTGAGATTCTTGCCTCCAATTGGGGCCACTAGAAAACTGGAAATACAGCTGTGCTCAAAGTGGTAGAGCACTAGCTTTGAGCTCAAAAACTCAGGGACCGTACCTAGGCTCTTGAATTCAAACCCCTCCCCCCCCCAAAAAAAAAAAAAAAGAAGAGAAAGAAAAGACATCTGTTCATATACATATACTTTTCCCCCACTTCTCCCCCGATCTTGGGCTTGAACTTAGGGCCTGGGCCCTGTCCCTGAGCTTTTGTGCTCAAGGCTAGCACTCCAATACTTGAGCCACAGAACCATGTCCAGTTTTTTGGTGGTTAATTGGAGATAGAGAGTCTCATGGACATTCTTGCCCAGGCTGGTTTCAACCACAATTCTCCAATCTCAGCCTCCTGAGTAGCTAGGATTACAGGTAAGAGCCACTGGTTTCCTGGTTCATACATTATTTGTATGGGTTCAGGTAAACATTTGGTAAATGTCATAAGAGAATCAGATTAATGGATGAAAGTAACAATTGTCTACCAGCCTTAGCATCTAGTTTACATCTGAGCTTAGCTCTGTCTGTTACTTAATATGAAGTATATTCTAATTGACCCAGGTAAATATTAAAATATTTTAGAGTTAAAAAAAAAAACACCCTGGGGCTGGGAAGGTGGCTCAGTGGTAGAGCACTTGCCTTGCATGCATAAGCCCCTGGGTTCGATTCCTCAGCACCACATAAGCAAAAAAGAAAAAAAGCCGGATGTGGCACTGTGGCTCAAGTGGTAGAGCACTAGCCCTAAGCTGAAGAGCTGAGGGACAGCACCCAGGCCCAGAGTTCAGGCCCCACGACCGGACCCCCCCCCAAAAAAAAAAACAACAAAAAAACACAAACAAAAAAACCACCCTACAATAGCTAATTTAGCGTTCTCAAGCTAGTCTACAAACAGGTGAAGTGGGTTAGAATTTGGTAGCGAGGATTAGGGGTGTAGCTCTGTGGTAAAGTATTTGCCTGCCACATGAGGCCCTGGGTTCCATCCTCAAAATAAAAGGGAAAGAAAAAGTATTTGGCATTCAGCCTAATTTCCTCAAAAGCTTTTAGAACTTCTGAAATGCCCCTACAAAACCTTAGGTGAAAATCTGCCGACCATAGTGCCATGGGGAGGCCTGGGTAGGTTCCGGAAGTGGGGTGTGGTTGGCTATGAGGAGGGAATGCACACTCCCCAGAGAGTTGTTTAGACCTCTCTGTGCCTCAGTTTCCTCACCTTCATGGAAGTTATAGGACCTACCTCGCAAGAGTTGTGACTGTAAAATGAATTAATATATGAATTAAAGTAGTTACAAGAATGGCTGGCTCCAGAAACTGTTCCCTGTAGGAGTTTGCTTCTGGTTACTAAGAAAGAGAGGAGCCCAGGCCAAATCTCTGAATTTCTTCCCGGTCTCTTCTTCCCAGGAGGCCTGGCTGTGGATTGGGTCCATGACAAACTCTACTGGACTGACTCCGGGACATCCAGGATTGAGGTGGCCAACCTGGATGGGGCCCACCGGAAGGTACTGCTGTGGCAGAACCTGGAGAAGCCCCGGGCCATTGCGCTGCACCCCATGGAGGGGTGAGTACGTTATGTCTCGGTTCCTAAGTCTTCTTGCATTGTGTGAGGATAGAGCCCAGTTACCTGGGCTAAATTTTATCATGCCATTCTCAGAGTGTGGTGTTTAACAAGGTGGTCTCTGTACGCTGATGCTCCTGGCTATGGAGCAACTGGTCCTGTTCCTTAAACAAATTAATATTTATGTTCCCTTTACTCCTTTCTTTCTTTGCTTGCTTTCTTTGTTTTCTCTCTTTCCTTCCTTCCTTCCTTCCTTCCTTTCTTTCTTTTTCTTTCTTTTCCTTCTTTCTTGTGGGGCTTGAACTCTGAGCTTAGGGGCTGTCCCTCAGCTCTTCAGCTTAAGGCTAGGGCTCTACCACTTGGCCACAGTGTCACATCCGGTTTTTCTGGTGGTTTATTGGAGATAAAGAGTTTCGTGTACTTTCCTGCCCGGGCTGGCTCTGAACTGTGATCCTCAACTCTCAGCCTCCCGAGTAGCTAGGATTACAGGCATGAACCACCCTCACCCGGCTCCCTTTACTCATTTCTAACTGGTGAGTTAAAAACAAACACACAGCTGGGTACCAGGGGTTTATGCCTGCAATCCTAGCTATTCAGGAGGCTGAGATCTGGGGGTCACAGTGCAAAACCAGCTCTGGCAGGAAAGTCTGTGAAATTCTTATCTCCAATTAACTACCAAAAAAGCCTCAAGTTGGGCTGGGAAGGTGGCTCAGTGGTAGAGTGCATGCCTTGCATGCCAGAGGCCCTGGGTTCGATTCCTCAGCACCACATAAGCAAAAAGAAAAAAGCCGGAGGTGGCGCTGTGGCTCAAGTGGTAGAGCGCTAGCCTTGAGCTGAAGAGCTGAGGGACAGCGCCCAGGCCCAGAGTTCAGGCCCCATGACCGGACCCAAAAAAACAAACAAACAAAAAATGCCCAGGCACAACACCCAAGCTAAATTCAAGCCCTGGACCAAGCACCAAAAAACAAAACAAAACAAAACAAAACAAAAAAACCAAAAGAGCCTCAAGTAGAGCTGTGGCTCAAGTGTTAGAGCATCAGCTTTGGGTAAAAATGTTCAGGGACAGTGCCTAAGCCCTGAGTTCAAGCTCTAGGACCATTAACAACTTGAACTCAGGGTCTAGGCACTGTCTCTGAGCTTCTTTGGCTCAAGGCTAGAGCTCTACTTGAGCCATTACACCACTTCTGTTTTTTTCTGAGTAGTTTATTGGAGATAAGAGCTTCACAGACTTTCCTGACAGGGCTGGCTTCGAAACAATCCTCAGATCTCAGATTAGACCCGTGAGCCACCAGCACCCAGCTTGAAAATACTTCTTAAGGCTATTAATATAGCTCAGTGGTGGAATGCTTGGCCAGCACGAGGTCCTTGGCTTAATCTCCAGCATTGCCCCCTGCCCCGCCCCAAAAAAGGAAGTTGTTTAAAATAAATAAAGATTTAAAAAAATCCAACACTTTGGACAAGCAGTTGGAGTCTCCTGGATGAGTATCCTGGCTACTACCCATCCATCACTGCCAGTGAATTCATTTTCTTTCTTCCTAGAACCATTTATTGGACAGACTGGGGCAACACCCCTCGCATTGAGGCTTCTAGCATGGATGGCTCTGGACGGCACATCATTGCAGATACCCATCTCTTCTGGCCCAATGGCCTTACCATTGACTACGCGGGGCGTCGCATGTACTGGGTAGATGCTAAGCACCACGTCATTGAGAGGGCCAATCTGGATGGGAGTCACCGCAAGGCTGTCATTAGCCAGGGTGAGGCCCTTTCTCCTCTCTCCTTCATCTTTCATCCTCCTTCCCCATTCCTGCCCATAGGAGCCTTGGCAGAGGGTGACATTTGTGCAGCTGCCAGGTCTGGGCCTGGGGGAATGGGGAGGGGATTGGGGTAGGCCATATCTGAAGTGAGATCTTTCTGGACTTTGCCCAGGCCTCCCACATCCCTTCGCCATCACAGTGTTTGAAGACAGCTTGTATTGGACAGACTGGCACACCAAGAGCATCAATAGTGCCAACAAGTTTACTGGAAAGAATCAGGAAATCATTCGCAACAAGCTCCACTTCCCCATGGACATTCATACCTTGCACCCCCAGCGCCAGCCTGCAGGTAAAACACTTCCCATCAGGTGAGCCAGAGTGGCCTCATGGGTAATGTGGCTGCCTGTGCCTCTGACAACCTCCCTAACACTTGTCATAGTTGCCAATGACTCTGATGGGGGTGGTTGAAAAAGAATCCAGGGCTGGCATTGACTTGGGCTAATTCCTCCCTCTGCTGGACATTTAGGGTGGTACAACATCAAGACTCCCGAAAGACTCATTCTGCTTCACTGTTCCCAAGTAATTCATGCAAACATTTACAGGGCATCTCCTATATGTCAGGTACTCACTATATGTTAGCAGCTGGGGCAGATACTTAAAAAATAAATAACAAGACATAGTTTCTTCCTTTGGGATGTTCACCCTGCCCCTTACTCCCTGGCCTGGGAGCTACCTTGGTAAGCCTTGGATCTTATCTGACCATCTTGCTCTGGGCTCCTTGAACAGGAAAAAACCGTTGTGGGGACAATAATGGAGGCTGCACCCACCTGTGTCTGCCAAGTGGCCAGAACTACACCTGTGCCTGCCCTACTGGCTTCCGAAAGATCAACAGCCATGCCTGTGCCCAGAGTAAGTGGGTCTGATAAACCAGTCTCAGTAGAGGTACCATGTGAGGGTGGGTGGAAGAGACAAAGATAGAAGTTGAAGGGATGGTTTGTCATGAGGAAGAGCCATATGCCTCAAGTAGCCTCTGGAGAGGAAGAACTTAAGTTGGAGGATCAGAGAGCAAAGCTGAGGACTGAAGATCTAACAGAAATTGGTGAGGGCTCAGTGACATACCCAGGTCGAATATGAATACTTGCAACTAGGTTTATGATTGGATTCACTACATAGAATTCCTTAAAGCTAGACAGCAAGTCAGTTCTAGGTTCTTCTAGAAAGTGGGAGACTGATTTCCAACCTACCTTTCCTTTTACCCTATAGACTTTTTGTCAGCCCCTAAAAGAAGGAGCCAAACTTAGGATCTCTGATGATTCTTTCAGTAGATCTTGGATAAATACTTGTATAACTAGTGAAAGATGATGGGATTTCCTGAATCTCTGGACTGCTCCTTTGGCTTCCTTGGAGTTAAAGTTAGGGGCATTGCTCGTAGGTTGGTCCTAAGGAGCTTAGCATCACGGATGCTGAACTTTTCTTAAGAATATCCAGACAGAACTGATCATGTATATGGCCTGACCAGCAAGGATCCTGGGATAATGTCTCAGACATCACTCTTAAATCTGGTTAAAATCAATTCTTGCATCTGGTTTCTTCCCAGAGTGCCATTAGAGAAAACATGAAGATATGTCATTCATGTACACAGTCCTCTTAAGACGCTAGTTCCGTGAAATGTATTTTACCTTTGCATTCATGTGTGCCCAACTCTTCCCTATTAGTAAGGTGCAGGATGCTTCCCAGGTACTTTCCATCAAGAGTTCTTCAGAGTTTGAAACAAGAAAGTTGATAAAGTTAGGCAAGAAGTTCCTTTCTGAATGAAAGAGTATATAACCCTTCATAGCTGTATACTATATAGTGGATTCAACCAATTGCATACAGAAAATACTGTTATAAAAATTATTTCTGTATTGGACATATGTGTTGACCTTTTTAGTCACTAACCCTTAAACCATACAGTGTAAAAACTATTTATATAGAATTTATATTGCACCATGAATCACTAGCACCAACAAATATATTGCACTGGGTACTATAAGTAATCTAGAGATGTGCATAGGATCAGGTGCAAAATATAAAGCCATTTTATATAAGAAGCTTCAGCATCTGTGAATTTTGGTATCTTCAGAGTTCTTAGAACCAGCTCCTCATAAATACGAAGGAAAGACTCTACTAGGAAAGTATTCAGATAGACCATAAGAGGGGCAGAGGATAGAAAAGAGCCAGCTGTGATGCTGTGCAGAGGAAGGACCAAAGCTCTCTCTGGAAAAGACCTGAGTCCCAGCTCTAATGATCTGAAGCTGTAGTGTCATGGGCACCATTACTTGATTTCTGTTAGCCTCAGAAACTCATCTAGAAATGAGAGCAAGAATAACATGAACCAAGAGTTGGTGAATAACATGAACCAAGAGTTGGTGTGAGGAGGCATCTGGCTTTCCTAAGTTCTAATCTCAGTGCCTGACTAGGATGATCCTCCATGCCTAGTCACTTTTTTTTTTTGGGGGGGGGGTCCGGTCATGTGGCCTGGACTGTGGGTCTGGGTGCTGTCCCTCAGCTCTTCAGCTCAAGGCTAGCACTCTACCACTTGAGCCACAGCACCACTTCCTGCTTTTTTCTTTTTGCTTATGTGGTGCTGAGGAATCAAACCCAGGGTCTCATGCATGCAAGGCACACGCTCTACCACTGAACCACCTTCCCAGCCCCCTAGTCACTTTTTGCTAAAGCTATTGCAAGAACAGTAAGGAGAAGAATCTAGATAATACAATAGAGGCCTAGCTGGATATGGCTACACATGGCTATAATCAAAGTACACAGGAGGCTGAGATAGGAAGACCATGAGTCTCAAGGTAACCTAGGCTACATAGTGAGACTATCTCAAAACAAAATGAACCCACAAAACAAAATGAACCCTGGGGCAAAGGTCCTAAAACCAATGAAATCCTAGAAGTAAAGTGTTAGCAGTGCTCCAAACCGGACACTAGCAAAGATCCAGAGAAGTCAAAGGGAAGAAAAATTTAGCTGAATCAGACAAACCCTTAAACAGCAGCTACCCTGGGTAGAGTTTGTTTCTACTGGATTCTTAGGGCTGATTTCTGCCAGTCTGGGCTTCAGTGCTCAAGGGGGCCTACAGTATGAAGAATTGGGGGCAAAGGACACCAGGTCCCAGGAATTGTGATTGAACCAGGTGTCACACAGGTGAGCATCTGTGTCTGTCACTGTTACTGGATTTAGAGCATTAAAAGAAGACCCCTCTCGGCCTTTGATCAGGTCTTGACAAGTTCCTGCTTTTTGCCCGAAGGATGGACATCCGTCGGATCAGCTTTGACACAGAGGACCTGTCCGATGATGTCATCCCACTGGCTGACGTGCGCAGTGCTGTGGCCCTTGACTGGGACTCCCGGGATGACCACGTGTACTGGACAGATGTCAGCACTGATACCATCAGCAGGGCCAAGTGGGATGGAACAGGACAGGAGGTAGGGCCCAGCGTGGACACAGGCCTTCAGAGGGAGCAGAGATTGAGGGGTAGGATCTGCCTTCTCCAGGGGAAGGGGTTCCCATAGTTTGTGAATTGGTGGTATGGGCTCCATGGCTGGAGGGAAAGTCAGTTGGTGATACAGCTTTGCTTTCTGTGCAGGTGGTAGTGGATACCAGTTTAGAGAGCCCCGCAGGCCTGGCAATTGATTGGGTCACCAACAAGCTGTACTGGACAGATGCAGGTATGTACTAGGAACTGTGATCTGGCTGTCTAGGATTTCTCTTAGTTAAAAGCCTGGCTTAGCTAGCCACCCATGGCTCATGCCTGCAATCCTGGCTACTCAGGAGGCTGAGCTCTGAGGATCATGGTTCAAAACAAGCCTGGGCAGTTAAGTTTGTGAAACTCTGCTTTCCAGTGAAGCACAAGTCAAAAGTAGAGCTGTGGCTCAAATGGTAGGGTACCAACTTTGAGCACAAAAGCTCAGGGATAGCTCCCAGGCCCTAAATTCAAGCCCCAGGACCAATACCAAATAAATAAATAAGTAAATGCCTCCCTTCAGAGTAGAAAGATCACATCTGTTCTGATCTGATATGTTTGGGAAGTCAGAGAGAGTGACACTGCTGTAGAGCTGAGTAAAGAAACTCACGTCTGCCGGGCACCAGTGGCTCACACCTGTAATCCTAGCTACTCAGGAGGCTGAGATCTGAGGATCGTGGTTCAAAGACAGCCTGGGTGGGAAAGGCCCTGAAACTTCTTATCTCTAATAAACCACCAGAAAACTGGAAGTGGCACTGTGGTTCAAGTGGTAGAAAGCTAGCCTTGAGCTGAAGAGCTGAGGGATAGAGCTCAGGCCCAGAGTTCAATCAGAAAGAAAGAAAGAAGGAAGGAAGAAAGGAAGGAAGGAAGGAAGGAAAGAAGGAAAAGAAACATCTAAGTGTTTGGCAGTTGTTAGTCAAATGACTAGGAAGTTGAGCTAGGAAAAGTTTTGCTACATTTCAGATAAACCCATAGTTTTTCTTCAATTGCTATGTGAATGTAACAGGTATTTTCTATTAGCCAGGGGAGGAGGTCTGTGGGTGAGAGGTAGAGGGATTGCGTGTAACCCAATGCTAGTCAGAATATCCAATCTCTTATTAAAAATTCAAATTCTGGAGAGAGGTGTGTAAAGTACTTGCATAACAGATACAGGGGCTGATCCCGGGTACTGATGGAAGGAGCGGGGAGAGAGGACCAAGAGAGGGAAGAAGAGAGGGAGGTAAGGAAGGGAAGGAGAGAGAAAAGAATTCAAATTCTGAGGCCCCACACAAGACTACTATAGGGATTAAATTCAAGACTGGATTTTAACAAACTCTCCTGATTTATGTGTACTCTAAAGTCTAAGAATCATTGCATTGAACTATAGGACAGAGTTGATTGATTGCCTTGATTTAGGAAGTGTTGCTCTTCCAAAAAATGAAACTGATTACTTCCTTGAATTTCTTCTCATAGTTTAGTTCACTAAATAGCCATTGTACATTTGCCACAAAATATTTACTAGCCATATACTGCATGCCAGGCTCTGTTCTGGGCAAGGATGATCAGGAGGCAAGACTGGAGTTATTATCTTTGCTTGGTAGGTACAGACCGGATCGAAGTGGCCAACACTGATGGCAGCATGAGGACAGTACTCATCTGGGAGAACCTTGATCGGCCTCGAGATATTGTGGTGGAACCCATGGGCGGGTGAGACGGCCCTTTAGTGCCCCAAGCCCCCTACACCTGCGTACTGGGGTGGGGAAGGGGAAAGAGGGGGAGTCTGGAGATCAGGAAGAGTGACCAGATTTTGTGGGTACATCAGAACACAAAGGCAATAGTAGAATCCACAGAGGGTAAAGACATTCAGTGTCCTCTTCTCTAGACAAACCTTTTTTTTTTTTGGTTGAGGGAGGAAACCAATCCTGGGGATTGAACTCAGGGCCTGGCATTGTCCCTTAGCTTTTTCATTCAGGGCTGGTGCTCTACTACATGAGCTACAGCTCCACTTCCAGCTTTTTGGTGATTGACTGGAGATAAGAGTCAAAACCCTCATTGACTGAGCCCAGGGCTGAGCCAGATGGTGAGGCAGGAGTCTGGGCAGCTTCTGCAGGTAGAAATCCTAAAACCCTAGAGTATACTGGATATGTTTTCCCATGCTGATGATTGAACCCAGGGCTTTACATGCGGTAGGCTCCCCACTAGGTATTAGCTGGAAGGTCAGTAAGACTTCTCTTGCCTATATTCAGGTACATGTATTGGACTGACTGGGGTGCAAGTCCCAAGATTGAGAGAGCTGGCATGGATGCCTCTGCCCGCCAAGTCATCATCTCTTCTAATCTGACCTGGCCTAATGGATTAGCTATTGACTATGGGTCCCAACGGCTATACTGGGCTGATGCTGGCATGAAGACAATTGAATTTGCTGGATTGGATGGCAGCAAGAGGAAGGTAAGGGAGACGCTGAGACCCCTTTTCACGGCCCTGACAACCTCAAAATAGCACTCCCTGCTGACAGCTGACAGAGAGATAGAGCCAGAAAATGTTACAGAATAGTGAAAAGGACAAATAATGAACATTTTGTCACATGAAGTTCACTATTCTTTTTTTTGTCGGTCGTGGGGCTTGAACTCTGGGCCTGGGCGCTGTCCCTCAGCTCTTCAGCTCAAGGCGAGCGCTCTACCACTTGAGCTACAGCGCCACTTCCGGTTTTCTGGTAGTTTATTGGAGATAGGAGTCTCACGGTCTCTCCTGCCCGGGCTGGCTTTGAACCGTGATCCTCAGATCTCAGCCTCCTGAGTAGCTAGGATTACAGGCGTGAGCCACCAGCACCCGGCTAGTTCACTATTCTTGTTCTCTCTTTTCTCTTTCTCCATGAATGCTCATGCATGCACGCACACGCGTGCACACACACACACACACAGAAATGTTCTTCTGAGCTAAGATTAAATAGGCATCTTGGTTACAAGAGATTCCAATGTATATTTACTAAGAACAAGGACTTTGTCATATATAACTATAATATAATAATCAAAATTTAACATTGAGCCAGGTGCCAGTAGCTCATGCCTGTAATCCTAGCTACTCAGGAGACTGAGATCTGAGGATCACAGTTCATAAGCCAGCCTGGGCAGGAAAGTTCATGAGATTCTTACCTCCAATAAACCACTAGAAAACCAGAAGTGGCATTGTAGCTCAAGTGGCAGAGTACTCGCCTTGAGCTGAAGAACCCAGGGACAGCGCCCAAGCCTAGAGTTCAAGCCCCACGACTGACAAAAAAGTAAAAATAAAAAATTTAACATTGATACAATATTGCTATAAATTCTATAACTAGTGTTCAAATTTACTATCAGTTTCCCTATTAATATCTTTATCTCCCTATTTTTCTCCTTTAGTTCAGGATCATATCTAAGATTATACATTGTATTGAGTTATGTACTTTTTTTTAAATAGTTCTGGGATTTGAACTGAGGACCTTGTACTTATTGGGCTTTCTTGCTTCACAGTTTGCTGGCACTCTACTACTTGACTCATGCTTCCAGCTATGTCCTTTGCTGGTTATTTTGGAGATAGAGTTTTACAGACTTTTCGGCTGGCCTTGAACAGCCATCCTCTGGACCCCAGCCTCCTGAATAGATAGGATTATAGCTATGTGCCACTGACACCTAGCTGCTCTTGTCTCTTTAATTTCTTACCTTCTTGTATCTTTATTGACTTTTGCATTTTAAAAAAAGAAAAAGCCAATTCTTGTATAGAACAACCCTCCACTGGGATTTGTCTGATTGTTTTCCTTGAGAATCGATTCAGATTATACATTTGGGTCAAATAAACTACACTGAGTGGAGTCATGTCCTGTGTTCTCTGTGTCTCATCAGTAGGCACAGATGTTGACATGGCCCATTATCATGATATCTCTTTTGATTGCATGGTTAAGATAGTGTCCACTGTAAAACGGCTCTTTTCCTTTTTGTATTCATACATAGATGCTTTGAAATTGTATAAGTAATACATGACCTTTAGAAATCAACCTTTGAAGCCAGGCACTATCATAGTTACATCACAGATTAGTAGATCAAAGCCTCAGAGACCTAGTTCTAGGTCAAGTTCACAAGCTGCATTCTAACGCTATGCCCAGCTCTTGACTGTTGCACTATACTGTCAAACTTTGCTGGGAATGACACCAGTACTGGGTCCCCACAGGTACTGATTGGAAGCCAGCTCCCCCACCCTTTTGGGCTGACCCTCTATGGAGAACGCATCTATTGGACTGACTGGCAGACTAAGAGTATACAGAGTGCTGACCGGCTGACAGGCCTAGATAGGGAAACGCTGCAGGAGAACCTGGAGAATCTCATGGACATCCATGTCTTCCATCGCCAGCGGCCACCAGGTAAGCAGCCCCTCAGCCTTTGTACCTTCTTTTCAGTCATTTGCCCTAGCTTACCCCACTGACCCTGCCCCTCCTCTACATAGTGACCACACCATGTGCTATGGAGAATGGCGGCTGCAGCCACTTGTGTCTTCGGTCTCCAAATCCAAGTGGCTTCAGCTGTACCTGCCCCACAGGCATCAACCTGCTACCTGGTGGGAAGACCTGTTCACCAGGTGAGTTGAAGCATCACAGATATGGATAGAGTGTGTTCCCTACAGATATGCTATAAGATAGATCCTCAAAGTCATGGTCTGAGAATCCATGAGTCTTGATGGTTTCCAGAAGAGACAAAGAGTTTTCAGAAAAAGAAGGTAGAACTTTAAGGGAGTGGCACAGAGTGAGCAGGTTAGACAGGTTTGAAGGCAAGATCCTACTGGTTATGATTTTCATGCAGACTGGAAAAAGATGCTCTTGCCTCAAGACAACTTCCTTTCATCTGTTGGAAAATTTTAATATACTGATTTGATTAGGAAAAGACACTTTCTTTCTGCTAAAAATGAGTATAATAAGCCAGGGATAGTCACTCATGCCTGCAATCCTAGCTATATAGAAGGCTGAAATCAGGAGGATGATGGTTCAAGACGAGCCTGGGCAAAAAAGTTTACAAGACACCATCTCAAACAACAAAAACCTGAATGGAGCGGTAAGCTTACCTATCATCCCAGCTGAACTCAGGGCAACTCAAATGAAAGCAAGACCCTATTTGAAAAAATAATGAAAGCATAAAGAGCCTAGGGGTATGGATCAGGTAGTAGAGTGCTTACTACTGAGTTCAAACCACAGTACTACCAAACAGAAAACAAAAAATACAAATCAGAATTAGTATGGTAAATATAAAAATGTATATCTGCAATGTACTCTCCCCACCTTAGATATGCCCCTTTTGTGAATGGGTTAGCTATGTGATAATCATGTGGTAGGAAGGTCCCAGAAGTAGAACCTTGCTATCCAGATGTTGGAAGTCAAGTTTTACTAGGCAGCATTTAAACTCAGCACTTTAGGGTATTTGAATGCCTTCTGGGTTGTAAATAAAGCCCTCTGAGGTCCCTTTACTCCTTCTCTTTAGCTTTATAATCAAGGGTCCTTCCACAATATTAATGAAGTATCATTTGTGAAGACATGTGAAATCTAATACTCAGGCTTTATTTCCCCCTCCCCCACCTTCCCCACACATTCCTTCTGTAAGTGTTCTACCACTGGAGCCACAAAAACTCCAGCCCTTTTTAGCACTGGTTATTTTCATGGTATAGTCTTGCTTTATACCTGGGCTAGGTGGGCTGCCTGTGTGTTTCCCCATGTTGCTGAGGATAGTAGGTAAGCACCACTGCGCCCAGCCACTGTGTTTGTCCTGTACCTGGGATAACAAAGTGCCATGGCACCCAGCCATTGGTTGATATGGAATCTTAGGAACTTTTATATGTAGGCTGTCCTCAAATTGTGATCTCCTGCTCTCTGCCTCCTAAGTAGCTAGGATTGCAGGCTTCAGCCACTGTGCCTAGCTGGTGTGTGCTCTTTTTTATAGCCACCTGTAATTGTCTCTATTTTATACATCAGGATCCTGAAGCTTAAATAATTGTGGTAACACTCCAAGGATCACATAACTAGAAACTAGCTGGGTCAAGGCATTAAGGTTCAGTTTGTCTGAATCCAAATCCTTTTAATGAGTCTGCTGGAGTGATTGTCCTCCCTTCTTCTTTCTCTACCTGAGCAGGCATGAACAGTTTCCTCATCTTCGCCAGGAGGATAGATGTACGCATGGTCTCCCTGGACATCCCTTATTTTGCTGATGTGGTGCTACCCATCAATGTGACTATGAAGAATACCATTGCCATTGGAGTGGACCCTCAGGAAGGTCTGTGTGGTCTTTGCCGCCTGATTTCCTTTCCCTGCCCAACAGCCACTGTTGCCCTTTCTTTCCAATCATCTTGGCCACCTCAACGCCTGGGAACTGCCTGTTCCCTCTGGCACTTCCCCATCCCTGTCTATATGGTACTTTCTCTATGGGCATGAGTGAGCTGGGTTGAGTCAAGCCTTCCTTTTCCAGGAAAAGTATACTGGTCTGATAGCACACTACACAGGATCAGCCGTGCTAGTCTAGATGGCTCACAGCATGAAGACATCATCACTACAGGTGAGCCTTCCTCCCAGCCCCAGCATCACCTGTGTGGCTACAGAACCAGGGAAATATCCCATCTGTTATTTCATTGTTGTTGTTTTTATTGTTTGTTTATTGGTTGATTGGTTGTGGGGCTTGAACTCAGGGCCTGTCCCTGAGGCTCTTTGTGCTCAAGGCTGGCACTTTACTAATTGACCCACAGCTCCATTTCTGGTTTTTTGAGTGGTTCATTGGAGAGAAGAGTCTCACCAGAAATTTTCTGCCTGGGCCAACTTCAAACAGTGATCCTCAGATCTCAGCCTCCTGAGTAGCTAGGATTACAGGCATGAGCCACTGGCACCCCGCTCCATCTGTTGTTTTGTTTTGTTTTGCCAGTCCTAGGGCTTGAACTCTGAGCTTGAGTGCTGTCTCTGATCTTTTGTGCTCAAGGCTAGCACTCTACCAAGTAAGCTTTTAGTGGTTAATTGGAGATAAGAGTCTCACTGACATTTCTGCCTGGGCTGGCTTCAAACCGTGATCCTCAGATCTCAGCTTCCTGAGTAGTTAGGAATACAGGTGTGAGCCCAGCTCCCACCTGCTTTTAAAAGCAGGAACCAGAGTGCCTTTTTTTTTTTTTTTAACTTTTTACAGGGCTGCAGACCACAGATGGGCTCGCAGTAGATGCCATTGGCCGGAAAGTATACTGGACAGACACGGGAACAAACCGGATTGAAGTGGGCAACCTGGATGGGTCCATGCGCAAAGTGTTGGTGTGGCAGAACCTTGACAGTCCCCGGGCCATTGTTCTATACCACGAGATGGGGTGAGAGTTGCGTAGGGGCATGGATCAGCTTGGCTAGGATTACGGACTGGGTAAAGGTATGCAATGGAGAACAAGCCTGGGTCACAGAAACACTGAACTCTGGAGATCACTATTGATTGATCCTCTGGGTATGATCTACTCCCTTAAGATTTCTTTCAGTATGCTGGCAAAGTGTACAGGTTAAAAACATGAACCAAGAGTTAGACAACCAATATTCAACTTCTTTCATCATAGATCAGCTGCATCAGTTTAGATCTAATGTTTACCTTCTCTGAGCCTCAGCTTTCTTACCATAAAACAAGAGTGATAGTTTAAGAAGAAGAAAAAAAAAGCCTGCCTTATGAGGATTCCGTGACATGATATTAGCACGTGAAGTCCTTTGCAAAGTAATTAGCCCACTGGAATAGGCTGGAATAATTAAGTCATGCTTCTTCACTCAGGTTTATGTACTGGACAGACTGGGGGGAGAACGCCAAGTTAGAGCGGTCTGGAATGGATGGTTCAGACCGCACGGTGCTCATCAACAACAACCTCGGGTGGCCCAATGGTCTGACTGTAGACAAGGCCAGCTCCCAGCTGCTGTGGGCTGATGCCCACACTGAGGTGAGTACCCCATCCCTGCTGTTTCCCAGAAGTCTGGCAAGACAGAAGAGACCTGTCCAATGACTGTAGTCCAGTGCTCCAAACCAGCCACCTGATAGCTGCCTCCCACTGTCTCTTTCTCCTACAGCGAATTGAGGCTGCTGACCTGAATGGTGCCAATCGGCATACATTAGTGTCACCAGTGCAACACCCGTATGGCCTTACCCTACTTGACTCCTACATCTACTGGACTGACTGGCAGACTCGTAGCATCCATCGTGCTGACAAGGGTACTGGTAGCAATGTCATCCTGGTGAGGTCTAACCTGCCAGGCCTCATGGATATCCAGGCTGTGGATCGGACACAGCCCCTAGGTAAGAAGACCCCTGGAGTTGTGAGTCAGTATCAATGTTGGGACTGTCTAACTGCACATGTATTTCCAATCACAGAATTCCTTTACAATCAGAGGCAATTGTTTTCAGGATCATTATATGATGCTGTCACCTTCAAATGACTCCTGGAGTCACTTCCTCTACCACATCCCTGAATCATGTCACTTAGAACAAGAAGTCAACCCAAGAAATTACGGCTTCCTGAGGGTCAGCCAGTCTACCAAGCTGGATGTGAAAGTTTGTCTCTCTCACCAGGTTTTAATAAGTGTGGCCTGAGAAATGGCGGCTGCTCTCATCTCTGCTTGCCTCGGCCCTCTGGTTTCTCCTGCGCCTGCCCCACTGGAATCCAACTGAAGGGAGATGGGAAGACCTGTGATCACTCTCCTGAGACCTACTTGCTCTTCTCCAGCCGAGGATCCATCCGACGTATCTCATTGGACACTAGTGACCACACAGATGTGCATGTCCCTGTCCCTGAGCTCAACAATGTCATCTCCCTGGACTATGACAGTGTGGATGGAAAAGTCTACTATACAGATGTGTTCCTGGATGTTATCAGGTATGAGTAGCACTGAAAGTTGCAGGGGATATAACCTCATAGATTTTATGAGGTTACATTTGGAGTTGACAGCTAAACAAACCAAGTAATTTTCGTGATTTGGACATTGATTTCTAATCCTAATTTGATTACTTTGTAGAGCTTAGAGCAGAGTTACAAACTTTTGTTTGCTTATTTGTTTAATAAAAGAATATGCAGAGCTGGGAATGTGGCTTAGTGGTAGAGTGATTGCCTAACATGCCTAAATCCCTAGGTTTGATTCTTCAGAACCACATAAACAGAAAAGGCCAGACAGAAGTGGTGCTGTGGCTCAAATGGTAGAGTGCTAGCCTTGAGTATAGAGAAGCTCAGGGACAGAGCCTAGGCCCTGAGTTCAAGGCTTAGGACTGGCAAAAAAAAAAAAAAAGACTATATGTATCCCAGAGACTCAGGAGGATGAAACAGGAAGGTAATGAATTCAAGGCCCGTTCTCAGGGCCTAGGCACTAACTCTGAGTTTTTTTTGCTCAAGGCTAGCACTCTACCACTTTGAGCCAACGCTTCACTTCTGGTTTTCTGGTGGTTAATTGCAGATAAAAGTCTCACAGACTTTTCCTACCTAGGCTGGCTTTAAAATGCAATCCTCAGATCTCAGCCCCCTGAGTAGCTCGGATTATAGGCATGAGCCACAGCACCTGGTTTTTGTTTTATTTTTATTCTGATCCTGACATAACTCAGGAATATAATGCCCTGCTACCAGCTATAGTGGCTTTTAGTGGCAGAGAGTCCTGTGGAGGACAGGGATAGTTGCCTTTGTTCTCCCTGAAGGTGTATTAGGTTCTCATGCTGGGGGTTGTAGGCACATTTAATTGATTGTGATGTGCTCTTATGCTCTTCATCTTAAGGTTGAGTTCTATGGTGGGAAGGGAGGGGGTTCTCTGTAAATGTACACAGGTAGGTTTTAACAAATCTGCCTTTTCTGTTTCTTTTTGTCTGCCTTTTCCTTTTCTTCTCTTTGTGTTAAGGATTGAACCTAGTGCTTCACACATGCTAAGCACTCACCACTTCTGAACTACATTCCTGGCCCCAATTTCCCTCTATCCTTGTTTTAACTGAAAGCACTGGGGCTTGAACTCGGGGCCTCATGCTTTCTAGGCTAGCACTCTGCCACTTGAGCCACACTTCCAGCCCTGTTTTCTGCTGGTTATTTTGGAGATGGAGTGAACTTTTCTGCCTGGGCTGGCTTTCAGCCAGATCTCAGCTTCTAGAATAGCTAAGATTACACACATGAGCCACATTGGTGCCTGGCTCTGACTTCCTCTCTCTCTCTGTCTCTCTCTCTCTCTCTATGTATATATATATGTATGTATATCTATATCTTGTTTTTATTGTAAAAATACTGTACAAAGGGGTTACACTTACATGAGTAAGGTAATAAGTGCATTTCCTATCGAGCATTGTTACCTCCTCCCTTCCTTCCCCACCTCCCAACTCCTCCCTCCACTGGCTCTAACTTTCTTTTTTGTAACTCTGGGCCTGGGCGCTGTCCCTCAGCTCTTCAGCTCAAGGCTAGTGCTCTAGCGCTTGAGCCACAGTGCCACTTCTGGCTTTTTTCTTTTTGCTTATGTGGTGCTAAGGAATCGAACCCAGGGCCTCATGCATGCAAGGCAAGCGCTCTACCACTGAGCCACCTTCCCAGCCCGGATCTAACTTTCTTAAAGTCACTACTTAGCAACCCTTATCCTCTCTCCCAAAGAAAGATGGGGAATGATTAACACCTGTCCTGTAGCTAGGTGAACCCATTTTGCAGGGAACACACTCTGCCCTCCTAAGAATTAATTCATTCCTTCTACAAATATTTTATTGAACACCTATCATGACAGGTACTAAGAAACATGCTAGGAGACATTTTCTTTCTGCCCCCATGGAATTTACAATCTGGCAGAGGTTCAATTATGGATTAAAAGTGTCCAGTGTATTCCTAGTCAATCTGGTCATTTATCCACCTCTGGGCTCTCCCCAAGGCGAGCAGACCTGAATGGCAGCAACATGGAGACAGTGATCGGACGTGGGCTGAAGACCACTGATGGTCTGGCAGTGGACTGGGTGGCCAGGAACTTGTATTGGACAGACACAGGCAGAAATACCATTGAAGCATCACGGCTGGATGGTTCCTGTCGCAAAGTGCTGATCAACAACAGCTTGGATGAGCCCCGGGCCATTGCTGTTTTCCCTAGGAAGGGGTAAGTCTATGGCTAGCAGAGATCCAGGGAAGAATATTCCTGGTGGCATAGGGGCTGCTGGCAGATGTTTATGTTATTAGTGTACTGATGTGTTCATAATATTCTGTCAACCTCTAGATGCCATTTCTCAATGGTGATGATGTCAATGTTGTATCTCAGGTACCTCTTCTGGACAGACTGGGGTCACATTGCCAAGATTGAACGGGCAAATCTGGATGGTTCTGAGAGGAAGGTCCTCATCAACACAGACCTAGGTTGGCCTAATGGCCTTACCTTGGACTATGATACTCGCAGGTGGGAATCCAGACATAGTCTCCTGGAAATCAGGTGGATCAGTAAGAGGACAGAGATTGAAGCAGGGGAAATGAAAAAATTGGAAGACTCCTTGGCAGGTGGAGAACAGTTTTACAGAAGGAGTTGCTAAATCCAACCCTTAGCTGAATTTTATTGCCTAGTTTATATATAGTTTTTTAGATGGAGGGCCTCTATCAGAACATATCCTCTATTGGGACCACAGGGTCTACTTACTTCTCCAGTCCTTTTAAGGGCTGAATCTTTTTTTTTTTTGTCGGTCATGGGGCTGGAACTCTGGGCCTGGGCGCTGTCCCTCAGCTCTTCAGCTCAAGGCAAGCACTCTACCACTTGAGCCACAGCGCCACTTCCAGTTTTTTGGTGGTTTATTGAGTGTCCTCTTCTCTTAACCTTGGGAAGGGCCATGTAAGATGAACTCTTGTCTTAAAGAATTTGGGTTTTGATTTTGGGGTAAGAGCCAAAGGCTCTAGACTCTTTATATTTCTCCTGAATAGCTTTTGCTCCCTTACTTTAACATTTAACATCAATGGCCTTCACTCACTGGAGTTTCTTGCCTGCCCATAGCACCTGCCATTTCAGCTCAGCAGAGGGCAGATAAGTCCTGACAGGGAACAACTGGGCTCCCCTTCTCTGGTAAGCATTTGTCATCCTTCTCTCTTTTGCTTTGCAGAATCTACTGGGTAGATGCACACCTGGACCGGATCGAGAGTGCTGACCTCAATGGGAAACTGCGGCAGGTCTTGGTCAGCCATGTGTCCCATCCCTTTGCTCTCACACAGGTATTGGCTCAGGAGAGAGGTAACTAACCATTCCTGACTAGGGTATTTCCTTAAGGTTCTAAGCCACCCAAGTGCTCTGCCCCTCAGCCCACTACTCCTGTGTTCTAGCACTTGAAGGAATAAATCTTTTTGTTGTTGTTTTTTTACTGTGTAAGTCCCACTGGTCTAGCCTGCTAGGAGTAGCTAATTAAATAGAGGTAAACAGAACTAGCCATGGAGCTTTTTAAAATGCAAGTTCATAAGCCTTGGCTATAGAGAAACTGCTTTGTGAGGATTGAGCCCTCACAAAGCATTTTTACATTTTTCTTTTTCTTTTTTTTTTTCGGTCATGGGGCTTGAACACTGGGCCTGGGCGCTGTCCCTCAGCTCTTCAGCTCAAGGCTAGTGCTCTACCACTTGAGCCACAGCGCCACTTCTGGCTTTTTCTGCTTATGTGGTGCTGAGGAATCGAACCCAGGGCCTCATGCATGCAAGGCAAGCACTCTACTGAGCCACCCTCCCAGCCCCTACATTTTTCTTGATAGTACCAGAGTTTGAACTCAAGACCTTATGCTTGCTAGGGAAGCCCTCTAACATTTAAGCTATACTTCTAGCCCATTTTGCTTTAGTTTACTTTCTAGGTAGGGTCTCTTACATTTGCCCAGGGATACTTTGGACTGTAGTCTTCCTGCCTCTACTTTTTAGACAGCTATGATTGCAAGTGTGCATTACCACTCCTTGCCTAGAAATAAGCATTTTGATGAGCTTTCCTGTTGATCCTAATACTGTAGTCACTGAGTTGGAGCTCTGACGCTCACTAAGTGGAGGTGGGCTATGGAAGCTTGAGGCCTCCAGGCAGTTGTTGTCTATTGAGTTCCTTTAGTGAGCCAGGTACCTGGGTTCAGGTTCTGAACTATATTATTAAATACCATATTATTTTTTTAAATTATTTTTTATTTTTTGTGTGTTTATATGGTACCAAGGAATTGAACCCAGGACCTCAAGCATTAAGCCACATTCCTTGCCCTAAATATCTTATTATTTAATAACTACAACTCTGAACAAGAAATTAAACCTCTGTGAATTTCATTTATCTATAAAACAAATAGGTTTAATAATGGCACCCTCCTGAAATATATACAAAGCATTCGCCCAGTATCTAGCCCAGAGTAAGTGTGAAATGCATGTTATCACTAACCATTTTAATTCTTGTTAGCTATTCTTCCTGAGAATCCTAGCACTGTAGATAATTTGGGGGAGGAAAAAGATCTCCCAAGTCTGGGGCTATAAAAAAGAGATTCTTAGTCATTTAAAAAAAAAATCTGTATGAAGCCAGGCACTGGTTACTCACACCTGTAATCCTATCAGGAGTCTGAGGTCTGAGGATCACAGTATGTATCTGACAAATATCATCCACTCTGATCTCTATTTCTTTTTTTTTTCTTCTTCTTCTCCTTTTTTTTTTGATTCTGGAGAATGAATCCAGAGCCCTATATATGCTAAATGCCACTGAGCCACACACCCTCAACCATGTAAAATAAATTATATTCTACCATCCTAAAACCTTTTATCTGGCGCTATTTAATAGTAAGTTAAAAGTGAATATCATTTTTCAATCTACAAATTTCCTTTGAGGTTTCTGATAGAGAGGAGAAATATCCATTGCCCTTCCCACCTATGATTGAAAATTTCACAATCATTGCATTGGCCACAAAAGCAATGGAGATTTGGGCCAGGGCTTTGAGAAACAGGCCAAGAAGAATAGGGACCTAGAAGAACTTCCAATTTTACTGTTATTTGCTCGGCAGACAGCCATTCATTCACCTGCAGACTAAGCAATGAATGAAACACATTCTTATCCTGAATTGTGTAGGGTAGAGAGAAATATAAACAAACTACCATAGAATGTTTAACTACATCTGGAAGTGCAGCAAGGTATAGAACAGACAAAGGAGAGAATGGCAAACTATGGAGTTAGTGCAATATTCTATCTGGGGATTCACAGAATTGACTTGGCACAGAAGCAGCTCTGAGGTCTGACTGCTGAATATTTCCTCTTTTTGGGTTCCCTATTGAGTAGCAGGACAGGTGGATCTACTGGACAGACTGGCAGACCAAGTCCATCCAGCGTGTTGACAAGTACTCAGGCCGCAACAAGGAGACAGTATTGGCAAATGTGGAAGGGCTCATGGATATCATCGTGGTTTCCCCTCAGCGGCAGACAGGTGGGCCTCTGGATACTGAGTCTGCTTCCATACCATCAGTGGGCCTGGGGATAGTTGTCCCAAGGATTGTTAGGGACCAAGACAACTAGAACTCCAAGAGAGCCTTTCAGCTCATGTTTCAAACTCTTACAACCTTTTTACTCCTCTTGTGATTATTTCCTTCTTGCCCTATTATTCCTGGGAGTGGGTGCCCCTGGATTTCCTCCTTTTTCAGGAGTGTTAAGTTGGAAGGGCCAGTTCTGTCCCAGACCAGATACATATTTGCTTTGCTTCCAGGGACCAATGCCTGTGGTGTGAACAATGGTGGTTGTACCCACCTCTGCTTTGCCAGAGCCTTGGATTTTGTGTGTGCCTGTCCTGATGAGCCAGACAGCCGACCCTGTTCCCTTGGTGAGTCAGACTGAGTGGCTTCTGGAACAGTAAGTCCTGGGAAAGATAGGGAATCAGCAGCCACAACTTGGTGTTTCTGGTGGGATCCTTCTACAAAAGGTTGCATAGAGAATGACCTAAGCAATGAGGTCTTGGAATTGCTTAGACTTGGGTTTGTCTGATCTGTAGCATTCACTTCCATAGAAATCAGGGCTCTTAGCCCAGCACTAGTAGCTCACGCTAATACACCTAGCTACTCAAGAGGCTAAGAGCTGAGGATTGCGGTTCAAAGCCAGACCTAGCAGGGAAGTCTGTGAGACTCTAATCTGTAATTAACAACTAGAAAATTGTGGCTCGAAGTGGCAGAGAGCTAGCCTTGAACACAAAAGCTCAGGGACAGTGTCCAGGCCATGAGTTCAAGCCCCAAGACCAAAAAAAAAAAAGAATCAGGGCTCTTGATTACAGAGCCCTGTTATGGGAACTGAAATCAGTGCTTAACTATTTACTCTTGACCTTTGTGGACTAGCTAGCCTATCCAGAACTATTAATATTGAATCTAAACCCTTTTTATTTATAGTATTAAGTTGGGGTTTGGAGATTAGAGCAGCTAAAAGATTGCTTTGTCAAGTTCTACAGCCGCCACTCTTAGAACTATACATAGAATCAGCCCTATGATCATTAAAAAAAAAAGATTATGTATGTCATAATAAAATAAGTAATTGCCGGGCACCAGTGGCTCACGTCTATAATCCTAGCTACTCAGGAGGCTGAGATCTAAGGATCATAGTTCAAAGCCAGGCTGGGCAGGAAAGGCCGTGAAACTCTTATCTCCAGTTAACAACCAGAAAACTGAAGTGGTGCTGTGGCTCAAGTGGTAGAGCACTTGCCTTGAGCTGAAAAGCTGAGGGATAAACACCCAGGCCCAGAGTTCAAGCTACATGACTGACAATAAAATAAAATAATTATTTGTGTGTGTGTTGTGTGTGTGTGTGTGTATAAAAGAACTATATGTAAAGATTCCAACAGCTTACTCCAAGCTTCTTCTCTCTCTAGTACCCGGCCTGGTGCCCCCAGCCCCCAGAGCTACCAGCATGAGTGAAAAGAGCCCAGTGTTACCCAATACATTGCCCACCACCTTGCATTCTTCTACCATTAGGACCCGCACATCTCTGGAAGAGGTGGGAGGAAGGTAAGTACAGGATGTGTGTGTGGGGGGGGTCTATGATGTCAATCACCATGCTCCCCCAACCCGGCACAGGACCGGTGTCCCAGCTTGATAATCCTGGCATCACATGATGAACCCCCGGTCCTTGCTATTTTGGGATAGGAGGTGATATTTAGACTTGTAGATTGTTGCAAATGAATCCCTTTTTAGCTTTGAGGGCAAGAAATTTTTTAAGTACAGTTTTAAAGAAAAGTCACTCAGGAAGAGTCTTGCACATGCATTATTCCCTCTTCCTCTAGATGTTCTCCTTGGTCACATGTCACAGGTTTAGTGTGTAGTCTTGTCCTGTAGTGGTCTATGAGGTTGTAGTTTTATAACTTGGAACAAAAAAAAGGTCTCCTATGGATGTGATGGCCTTAGCTAATAATGATCCTGGCATTCAAACATGCATGCATACACACACACACACACACACACACAAACACACACACACCCATACACACATTAAATAAGTACAAACTCGGGTAGTTCTTAGTCAAGTATGAAATATATTTCAGGACTGGAGGCACAGCTTAAATGGCAAAGCACTTGCCTAGCAAGTACAAGGCCTTGAGTTCAATCCCTAGCAACTTACACAAACACACCACACACACACTCACACACACACACACACACACACACACACACACACATGTCAAACAATAAAATTAAAGGGGTTTAAAAGGTAGTTAACATTTGATTTAAATTTTTTTTTTTTGGTTGGTTGTAGGGCTTGAATTCTGGGCCTGAGTGCTGTCCCTGAGCTCTTCAGCTCAAGGTGAGCGCTCTACCACTTGAGCCACAGTGCTACTTACAGTTTTCTGGTGGTTATTTGGAGATAAGAGTCTCACAGACTTTCCTGCCTGGGCTGGCTTTGAACTGTGATTCTCAGATTTCAACCTCTGAGTAGCTAGGAGTACTGGCATGAGCTACCAGCACCAGGCTCACTTGATTTCAATTCTGAAAGCAGAAATATAATAATTTCAAAAGAGGAATCTAAAGTGAGTGTCTCCAGAGTTCTATGATTTGTACACAATCAAATAGCTTTGCTTATGTGCACTCTCTCTGAAGTAAAGACAACAACTCAAGTATGTACATGTACTTTTCTTTTGAAGTACTATCAATTATTATTAATCTTGGGCTTTCTTTAGGAATTTAATGGTATGGAAGTTTTCATTCCTGTAGATCAAACCTCACATGTTCTGCAAGTACACCCTCAGGCCCTAAGTTTATTTGGAAAACTTTTGACTCCCTTCTTAGATCTTTTCTAATGACCAGAGTTCTATTTGAACCTTCAGTGCATCTTTGTTTGTGCTGTTGCAGGTAGTTTTTCTCCTGGCTTTTAGGAGGTACAATTAATTGCCTATTCGTTGCCATGAAGAAATTACCTTCTGAGTATGTCAAATTAGTTCTCTGAGCACTCTCTGGATTTCTTGCATATTCTCTGATGAAAGAAGAGAAGAAAGTGTTTTTCAGATCTCATGATATAAAGACTTTGAGATAATCCTTAACCAGTTAGATTTGCTTGGCTTATGGCTGTTTCCTAGTCATTCTGATAGTTTAAGAAAATCTGATGCTGGCTGGGTGCCAGTGGCTCATGTCTATAATCTTAGCTATTTGGGAGGCTGAAATCTGAAGATCATGGTTCCAAGTTAGCCCATGGTGCCGAGGACATGACTCTAAGATTCTCAGGAAAATCCATGAGAATCTTCTTATCTTCAATTAACCACCAAAAAGCTGGAAGTGGAGCAAAAGTGGTAGAATGCCAGTGTTGAGTGAAAAGCTAAGATATAACACTCAGGCCCTGAGTTCAGGCTCCAGCACCTTCACAAAATTTAAAAAGAAAGGAAGCAAGGAAGGAAAGAAGAAGAAGAAAAAAGAAATCCTGGCATTGATGTCCTTAGTAGTCTTTCTGCAGACTTCTAGCTCACTCCCAAACTTGCTTTTCATTTATAAAGGTTCATAAGTGAAAACACGTGTAACCATAGTGTAATGGCTTATAATCACTGATTCACACTGGTTTCTCTATTCTGGTCCTGCCCTTAGTATATTTCTAATATCCTCCACCTGGTACATTTTCAAACCTGAAAGCCCACTCACAGGCCTTTCTTTCCTTCCTATAAGAGAACAAGATCTCCTGTGAATAACAAGTAGTCTTCACATTTTTTTTTTATGCTCACAGGTGCTCAGATAGGGATGCCCTGCTGGGCCTCTGTGTACATTCCAATGAAGCCATACCTGCTGCCCCAGGTAAGTCCTGTTGATCCAACTGTTTCAGAAAAGAAGATGTAAAGATTCTTTCTTTCCCCTGATAAATCATGAGGACTCCCCCGGGAGATGAATTTATTTTTCATAGACTAAATACATAAAGAGATAAAATAGCCACAGCTCATGGTCTGCTTTCTATATGGCAAGCATTTGATAGGCAAGATGTATCTTACATATCTATGTGTTCAGGAACAGTAGTCCTTCTTATCTATTTGGGATACATTGTAGGCAACCAGTGAAAGCCTGAAACCTCAGATAGTACTGAGTTTTCTATACACTATATCTTTTCCTATACATGTACTATAAATATGTACATGATACATACATAAACTATGATATAGTCTCCTTTATTAATTAGGTACAACAGTAATTAATAAAACAACTATAACAATACTGTAATAAAAACTATATGAATATGTGCACTGTCTCTCCAAACATCTTGATTTTTTTCTTGCATTATAGCAATGTTTGGGGCTATGGTTGACCATGGGTAACTGAATGGCAGAATGCAAAATAAGTATATGATGGGTGGTGGCTACTGAATTTGTATATAGATACATTCTCATTGACTCTACTGGCCCTATCAGGAATTTATTGTTTATAGTTAACTAATGAGAGAACATAGGCTTGGAAGTTTTGCTTCTTGCTTTAAGCCACAGAGTGAATGGGATTGGAGATGCTGGCAGTGAGCTTTTTTTTCCCTTGGCCTCCTCATTCTACCTCCTGTGGCGCCTTACCTCTGAGTAGTAAGAACCTCCACTATCGTCTGGTAGTTTGCAGAAGCTCTTCATCTTCTGCAGCACCATCTGGAAGGTGGCCAATAGTTCCTGCTAGTGTCTATCTTTTCTCCCTAGGTGAAGGACTTCATATCAGCTATGCCATTGGTGGATTGCTCAGTATTCTGCTGATTTTGGTGGTTATTGCAGCTTTGATGCTATATAGGTGAGCTCAGTTCTGCTGTAAAGGCTTTCCACTCTTTTGTCCTTACTGTATATCTGGGATCTGCTGAAGTTATGTAATACACTGATTCAACATCTGAACAGCCTTTTTTTTGCCAGTCCTGGGGCTTAAACTGAGGACCTGGGCACTGTCCCTGAACTTGTTTTACTCAATGCTAGCTCTTACCACTTGAGTCATAGTGCCACTTTGAGACACAACACCACTTCCAGCTTTTTCTCTTTATGTGCTACTAAGAAATGGAACCCAGGGCTTCATTCATGCTAGGCAAGCACTCTAAGCACACTAAGCTACCGACCCAGCCCGTGAACAGACTCATTTTAATTTTGCGTCCCTAGCTGGAGCACTAGAAGAGACAGCAATGGAAGAAAAAAAATGAAACCTGTATACTAACTCTTATTTCTCAGTCACAATTTCCTCAAGACCATAGCAAAGCAACCCTTTTTGTTACATACTAGAAATAACTGTTGTCTCTTTACACAAATATAACATTCTACTATAATGTTGGTTGATCTAGTATTGCTCTGTAGCAATCATTTGGGAAAGTTGAATGTGTCATTTTCACCTCAGGATCTTTTTTTTTTTTTTTTTGTCAGTCATGGAGCTTGAACTCAGGGTATGGGCTCTGTACTTGACCTTTTTTGTTCACGGTGAGCCACAGCACCACTTCTGGTTCTCTGGTAGTCACACTACCACTTGAACCACAGCTCTACTTCTGACTTTTTGCTGGTTAATTAGAAATAATGAGTCTCACATACTTTCCTGCCTGGGCTGGCTTTGAACTATGATCCTGAGATCTCAGCTCCTTGAGTAGCTAGGATTATAGGCCTGTGCCAACAGCACTCAGCTTTCAATTTAGGATCTTTTTGTGTGCCTTTTTCTTTGTATTTTCCTCCAATTGCTTTAAACACAGCTTACAGCAAAAGAACAACAACAAAAGTCTGGATTCTTCTGTTGCTGCTACAACAGAATATATCCTATTTAATCTGTCAATACCACAAACTTTTTTTTTTTTTTTTTTTTTGCCAGTCCTGGGGCTTGAACTCTGGGCACTTTGCTCCAGACAAGCACTCTATTGCTTGAGTCACAACACAAAAAGTTTGGCTTGTTTTTGTTGTTTTGTTTTTTTGTTTTTTGGGTTTTTTTTGTTTGTTTTTGAGTAGTTTATTGGAGACTTTCCTGCCTGAGCAGGCTTCAAACCAGGATCCTCAGATCTCAGCCTCTTGAGCATAGCTAGGATTACAGGTGAAAGCCACCAGCGAAGGAACCAGTGACATTGTCCAAAAAAAAAAAAAATGGCACTCATTACCTGATTTATGAAATGATAACCCTCTAATACTTAATAACAATAAAATTATATTAAATTAAAAACACATTACAACTTTTCCAGGTAATAACTCTCATAAACATCTGAACTAATTTCTTCTTGTTTTTCTTCTAAAGACACAAAAAATCCAAATTTACTGATCCTGGAATGGAGAACCTGACTTACAGCAACCCTTCCTACCGAACTTCCACTCAGGAAGTAAAAATTGAAGCTATCCCTAAACCAGCCATGTACAATCAACTGTGTTATAAAAAAGAGGTAAATGTGGAACTTTAAATTCAAGGGGTTTGGGGGGAGGAGGGAGTGTTAAGGGCAGATATAGGTAGTGAGGAATTACATTCCAGTTTCCCGAATAGATCAGTAAGGGCTGATAATGGTCTCATCTGCTATTTGGGAAATTAGAGTGAATGGAAGGATTAAGTATAATTTAGGTTTCCTTAGAAACCTAAATCTAGATTTTTTGAGGGACCCTAGTGAAAGCAAGATGAGAAAACAGCTCCTGAAAGATTAGGTCTGGAAGCAGTGGTATGGATCTCCCTGCCAGGAGATGTTTTTTCTGAGTCATAGGTTCTCACTTTTTTGTGTGCCAGTACAAGAGCTTGAACTCGGCACAGACACTATCGCTTAGCTTTTTCACTCAAGGCTGGCACACTACCACTTGAACCACAGCTCTACTTCTGACTTTTTGCTGGTTAATTAGAGATAATGAGTCTCATAGACTTTTCCTGCCTGGGCTGGCTTCAAACTTGGATCCCCAGATTCCTGAGTAGTTAGGATTACAGGTATGAGCCACTAGCATCCAGCTGTTCTTTCTTTTTTTAGAGCTGTCATTTCTCTGTTTCACTCTGAAACAAGGGGGCTGTCTTATACTGTACCTCCCTCCCCCCAAAAAAAGCCCAAGATCTCTTGGACTCTCCCTTTCTCCCTTTTCTTTCTTTCTTTCTTCCTTTCTTTTCCTTCTTTCTTTCCTTTCTTCCTTTCTTTCTTTCCTCCTCCTTGGCTTCCTCCCCCTCCTCCTCCTTCTTTTAATGTGTATGTGGGGGTATTGAATTCAGGGCCTTGTACTGCTTAGCTGCTTGCTCTGCTGGTGTTCTATCACAAAACACTAGCTGGTTATTTTTGAGATGGAGGTCTCATGAACTTCTATGTGGGCTTGCTTTCAGTTGCAATCCTACAAATCTCAGCTTCCTGAGTAGCTAGGATTACAGGTGTGAACAAACACACTTAGCTTCCCTTTTCTAGTCTCTGATCCAAGCTAGTGATAACATGGCTGAGAATAGCTGATTTTTCTCTACCTGTCCTTCCTTTTATCTCAGGGTCTTTAAGAGATTTCTCTAAAATGCTGACAATTTATTTGCTTTTGTCTTTCTGCTTTGTTACTTCAGTAGAAAATTACTTGCTGGAGGCTGGGAAGGTAGCTCAGTGGCAGAGCGCTTGCCTTGCATACATGAGGCCCTGGGTTTGATTCCTCAGCACCACATAAGCAAAAAGAAAAAAGCCGGAGGTGGTGCTGTGGCTCAAGTGGTAGAGTGCTAGCCTTGAGCTGAAAAGCTGAGGGACAAGCGCTCAGGCCCCATGACCGGACCAAAAAAAGAAAAGAAAATTACTTGCTGAATATTTAGGTATTAAAAATAGTTCCCTTTCCACAGTGGATATATAGTTTGGAATTTCAAATTTTCTTAACCTGTCTTCTAAACTTTTTTTGTTGTTTTTGTTGGTCCGGAGGCTTGAACTCTGTGACTGAGTGCTGTCCCTGAGCATCTTTTGTTCAAGGGCAGCACTCTATCACTGGAGCCTGAGCTATAGCACCACTTCTGACCTGTGTGTTCTAAAATCCTACAGCCTTCACCAGGAGTTGTTACTTAAGAAGACCGTAGTCAGGCCTGTCTTGAACAGTCAAAACTACTCTCATACCAGCAGGGATTCATGCATAATGATTATACTTTATACAGCAATTCTGTGCTTTTTGGAACTAGAAATTACCATATATAAAACACTTTCATTGTAGTTGCAAGGAAAACCTTCAAGGCTAGGTGAGTGGCTCATGTTACAGTATAAGTAGCAGGTATAAGCCTCTGAATTCAATTTTCAGTACTACCTAAAGAAAGAGGAGGAGAGGGAGGGAAGGAGGAAAAAAAAAGGGGGGAGAAAATAGGAAAGAAGGGAAGGAGGAGGAGAGAGAAAAATATTATTCATAGATAACTTATAGAAATGATAAACTCCTCAATATGTCTGAGAAAGATTGAAGATTCTTAGATTTCTATAGGGTTGGACACCCCAGGGTGGGGTAATCATAATGAAAGCCAGTAGTTAGACATAAAAAGAGGAGTTGGGGATGTAGCTGAGTGGTAGAGCACCTGCTTAGCTTTTTCACAAGGCCCTGGGTTCCATCCTTGGCATCATCATCAAAAAAGAAATGATAATTGTGTGACCCCTTTTCTTCCATTATCTGCTTCTTCCTCAGCACCTCTTTCACCCCTCTGATAGCCTTTCACCCTTTCTCTTCTGATTGCCTCCTGATTCCAGGTACCTGTTGCTGTGTGTGTGTGTGTAGAGGGAGTGGTATCTTTAAAATTGCTAGTCCCATGTGCCCCATCTTTCCTTGACTCACTCCGTGCATCTCTGTGATGACAACTCAAAGTGGCCTGTATTTTAGTTTTACAATAATTCCTGTTTAGAGGGTGTGCTAGGTGAATGGGTACCTGTGTATGCTTGTGCTCTCTGTTGTTTCTTTCTGCATGACCAAGCAGACTTGTTACTTCCTAGAAAGCAGGGATCATCATCAAAGCACCTTTTCTTTGTTTCATGTAGGAGCTCAATAAAATACCTTTGGAATATACTAATATAAAGCAGTGGTTGCAGGGCTCTGGGTAGGGACACTATCTCAGGGACAGAACCCAAACTATGGCCTATTTGCTCCTGGAAGTCAAACTATGTTGCTTGACATCCCCCATAAACTGGGAGTGAAGCTATCTTTTGAGGAGTCCATAAATGAAGCAGCCCGACAAAAGTCAGGGCTATCCTTGGAATAATCTAAGTTGGTTGGGAATGCTCCCACGGCTCATTGAAGCAGGCCTGCCCCAAATGGTTACAAGTTAAGGTGCCTCACTGAATGCACATTTTGAATCCAAATAGGAGAATTTTTGAGAGCTTTCCTGTCTTACCTTCGAAGTGTTCCCCTGAACAAAGTTAGAAAGAGATCATTAAGAACTAGCACATAAAGTAGTTCAAAATCCTCAATTCATACACACTGAATTGCCTTTACCAATTGCTTTTGATTATTCACATCAGCAGGATGTCCCATTAATAAACCACAGTAACAATGTAACAAACCAGCACATAAAGTAGTTCAAAATCCTCAGTACATGTATATTGAATTGCTTTTGCCAATTGCTTTTGATTATTTACATCAACATGATGTCCCTTTAATAAACCATAATAACCACGTAACCATAGCTAACATGTTTTCCATGCATCCTATGCCCAGCACCTCAACAATTGCATTCCATGTGTTGCTTCATTTAACCCCATAGAAATTGCTTGTGAAGGGGCTGGGAAGGGGGCTCAGTGGTAGAGTGCTTGCCTTGCATGCCTGAGGCCCTGGGTTCGATTCCTCAGCACCACATAAGCAAAAAGAAAAAAGCCGGAAGTGGCGCTGTGGCTCAAGTGGTAGAGCACTAGCCTTGAGCTGAAGAGCTGAGGGACAGTGCCCAGGCCCAGAGTTCAGGCCCCATGACTGGACCAAAAAAAAAAAGAGTTAGACAAATTGCTTGTGAAGTTCAAATGCTTTTTTCTTCCCACGTTTCAGATGGGGAGACTGAGTTTTACAGATGTTAAGTATTTGCCCAAAGGCAGCATAGCCAGGACTAGAAGAAGTCATGGTTCTCCTTCTCCCTGTATAATAATGGTAATCATATATGAGGCGAGGATTCATAGTCTTGCTCTTTCCTCATTCAGTTGTGGGTTTTTGTGTTCCATGCCCTCTCTTACCCCAGCTCATCTTAAAACCCTATGTCGAAAGCCAACTGACTGACGTCTAACTATGTCCCCATTCTTCACCCTAGGGTGGGCCTGACCACAACTATACCAAGGAGAAGATCAAGATTGTGGAGGGAATCTGCCTTCTGTCTGGGGATGATGCAGAGTGGGATGACCTTAAGCAGCTGCGAAGCTCTCGGGGGGGCCTTCTGCGAGACCATGTATGCATGAAGACAGACACAGTGTCCATCCAGGCCAGTTCTGGCTCCCTGGATGACACGGAGAGAGAGCAGCTGCTACAGGAAGAGCAATCAGAGTGTAGCAGCGTCCACACTGCAGCCACTCCAGAAAGACGGGGCTCTCTGCCAGACACAGGCTGGAAACATGAACGCAAGCTCTCCTCAGAGAGCCAGGTCTAAATGTCCCTGCCTGCCTGTTTCTTCTTCCCTATGGACTTCCGGTCCCTGCGCTCGCTTATACAGCAGGCCCCCTTTCCATGTGCTCATCTTCCTCCTCCCATCCCAAAATTGCTCCCAAGACATCCACGGGAGCTCTTTTTCCATCTGAGTCCATATCAATACGGGCACAAGAAATGAGGGCACATCTCAAGAATGTAGACTGGATTTTTACCACCAACTCACCTCTTTCACTCCATCTTGTGCCCCCAGAGACTGGGATCAGTGTAGAGCCCACCTCCCCTTCCCCTGGTACCCTTGGTGTCTGCCCCACAGCCCTGATGCAGCCGATGATGCAGGGCTGCACTCTTCTGCCATTACAGCTGACATAATGGCTTTTCTGAGAACTGGACCACCAGGGGCTGGGGCACACGGTCATGGGTAACGAGAAAGGTAATGGATGAAGCCTGAGAGAAAATGGAAGAGTCCACCCAGCTGGTCTGGGTATCTAGAAAACCTCCAGCCTCGTGGGTTGATAATATGAAAAAGCTTTTGGGGGCTCTTGGGTCTGGGTGTACTGTCCATTGCTGGCAGTGGACATTATTTTTCACTTTGCAGATATAGGTGAGATGTGGGTGTGGCTCAAGCTATTGTTCTTCCTGCTGGAATATCTGGAGCCATTTCTAGCTTTGATGACTAGAAGCCCTATCCTATGGCTATTTACTTATAGGAATTTCTTCCTGGTGCCACCACCAGTCAGTACTTTTTCAAAGCCTTTAAGTAAACAGGCTATGAGCCAGTGGCTTCAGTGAATAATGAGCTTTGGAGACTGAGCCTCCAAAATATCTAAGGAACTCTTCTTAGACCAAACACAGCATCCCACCCAAACTTCATTGTTCTGCCAATCTCCCCCCACCCCTGCCCCCATTCTCTGGGACTCTGAGGGAAGTGATCCAAGAAAGTCCTGAAGTTTTCATAAATGGTCAAAAAGAACAATTAGAGATAGGGGATACCCAGGGACTCAAGTATCATGAAGTTGAAACTCCTATGTTCTTTCTCAGGTGAGCTCTTATGCCAACTCTTTTCCTGGCCATAAGTGACTTCTTTCTGACACTGAGATGCCACCAATTGGTTCATGCTTACAAGAGCAGAGGTCTCAGGCATTTATCAGTGGAGCTGAGACTTCTTGTTGTCCTAAAATGTTTCCCTGGCTCTGTTTCCACTTTAGGGAGGGCTCAATTTACTTCTGACCTAACCTTGTGACATCAGCAGTCTCTAAAGTGGTGGGGTGAGTAAGTAGAAAGGTAGAAAGAACCATGGATGAACCCTCCCAGCCCAGGGAAAGTTCTTTTCTATCCAGGAATTAGAAGTGGCAGGAGAGATGACACAGGCCTGTGAATGGAGGAGAGGATTTCTAAGAGAAACTTCTTGAAGACTCTCCCATGGTTATTTGTATTGAGGGCTCAGCAATCAAAAGGGGTATGAGTGAAAAAGATGATCAAATATCTTTTGGTCAGTTCTAAGACCACTAGAGACGGATGTGAAGCTTTTAGCCCTACTGTCAGCCCCCAGTACCAACTAAATCAGGCCAAGAAGACTTTTTCTGTGCACCAAGTTGGGAACATGGGAATGCCAATTCTGGAAGGAAATGGTAACATTTTACCTTTGAAGAGGCACTAAAAGAGTTCTTAGATTCATGGTTGGGGAGGAGGAAAAAAAAGAGTGGCATTTTCTTGATTGGAAGGGTGGAAGAATTTTTTGCACTTGGGCTGTTCAGAATGTAGAAAGGACATATTTGAGGAAATATCTATTTGAGCACTGATTTACTCTGTAAAAAAAGCAAAATCTCTCTGTCCTAAACTAATGGAAGTGATCCTCCCATGTTCATGTGTAATGGTTTTAACGTTACTCACTTGGAGAGATTGGACTTTCTGAAGTTATTTAACCACTATGTTCAGTATTTTAGGACTTTATGATAATTTAATATAAATTTAGCTTTTCTTAATTACCTTTGCCTGGCTTGGAGTCATGACTAATCCTGCACCTGCTCCGTCTGGCAGACCTATGCTGTGAAAAAACCTGCTTGCAGACAATACCTCTTTCTTCAGGGATGTGGGGACAGTTGAAGAGCAATAAAGGGTCTGAAGTTTCTGTTGAGAGTTTTCAGCTCATCTTAAGAAGACAGATCATGACCAGAGTTCATTGGCTCATGACACTATTGCTCCCTCTAGAGGAAGGATGATAAATAAGTTTCATCTTGAGTGTCCATTCATTCATTGGTAATAGCTGCCCAAGTTCCTGACCAGACTCAATGGGAAAAGTGTCATAATCATCAGTGACATCTCCAGGCACCAGAAGGAACTGTCAGCCTTCTGTACCATGTATCTTTTATGTATGTTCTAGGCCTTTTAAGGACGTCAATGCCATGGAACGTGACTTTACCTTGCAGTAATAATTACTGGCAAAACTGACATAGTAAGAAATGTACTGGAATCAGGACAAGGAATTCCAGTAACAAATCTGCCACTGGCTGTTAAGAGCCTGGCAATCTTTATACATATTCTGAGAAAATGACAAATGATCATTAAGATTTTATTGATTTGAGGGGATAGGAGGCTTTAGCTCGATGGTAGAGCATTTGTTTTAGAATGCACAAGGTCCTAGGTTCTGTATCTTGCACTACAAAAGTTGCATTTATTTTATAAAACTGCTATCTCATGGCTCAGCCACTATACTTCAATGCTGGAACAGAAGTAAAGGAACTCAGGTTCTTTGGATGTGATACCTCCCACCCCCATGAAAATTGGAAATTGTGCTAGTCTTCTGTTGGTGGTAGTGGTCATGGAGCTTGAACTCTGGGCCTGGGTGCTGTCCCTCAGCTCTTCAGCTCAAAGCTACCACTTGAGCCACAACACCACTTCCAGCTTTTTCTGTTTATGTGGTGCTGATGAATCGAACCCAGGGCCTCATGCATGCAAGGCAAGCACTCTACCACTGAGCCACCTTCCCAGCCCCAACTGTGCTAGTCTTAATGCTATATGTAGAATTTAATGTTAAGTTTCAATAGCTGTTTTTCTTTTATTTCTTTTTTTCCTGTCCTGGGGCTTTAACTCAAGAGTCTAGATGATGTCTCTGAGCTTCTTTTGCTCAAGGCTAGCCATCTACCACTTGAGCCACAACACCACTTCTGGCTTTTTCTGAGTAGTTTATTGGAGATAAAAGTCTCATGGACTTTCCTGCTGAGGCTGGCCTCGAACCATAATCCTCAGATCTCAGCTTCCTGAGTAGCTAGGATTACAGGCATAAGCCATTGGTGCCCAGCTCAATAACTGATTTTCTAAACCATAAGCTTCTCATTTTTTTGTTTATCTTTGATTATGAACTAGGAGCTGCCTATCCCTAAATACATTATCTCTCAAAAAAAGAGAAAAAAAAGACAGAAAAGAAGATGAAGAATGATGAAAGCAAGAAAGGCTTGCAAGCCTTTTCCATTTAAAGTGACAAGATCTGAATATAAACTGTTGTGTGTATTTTTTCCAATTTTCTCAAGGGGTAAGTGCACTAGAGCAAAAGCAAGTGGAATAGCTCAAAGATAACAATCCTTCCTTCCACTTCAAAACCAAACCCACAACAGACAGGAAAAAAAAAAGAAAGAAAAGGAGGAATCTTGACGATGGAACAAGGTTTGGGAATTTCTGGCCAGGTTCTGTGAATATAAAACTGTTGAGCACCAATGGCTCTTGTCTGTGATCCTACTTACTTAGGAGGCTGAGATCTGAGGAGGATGGCTGAAAGCCAGCTGGACAGAAAAGTCCACGAGACTCTTATCTCCAATTAACAACCAAAAAACCAGAATTGGAGCTGTGGCTCAAGTGAGAGAGCATTGGCGTTAGTGGGAGAGCAAAAGCTCAGAGACAGCATTCAGGCCCTGAGTTCTAGTTCCAAAACCATTGTGTATGTGCACATGCACACACACACACACACACACACACACACACACCCTGAAAACTTGTAAGTAGGCAAAAAAATGGGTCAAATTCTAACAATGTAGTTTTTAAAAATATGTTCAAAATAAAACACTACGGCTCTATAATATGAACAAACTGAAACCTAATATGAAAATATCTCTGGTCTAGGGGAAGATCAAGAAGGTCTTCATGGTATGAATTGATACTTTCCCCAAGCATAGATCTGAAGAAGACTAGAAGGCAGTAATGGGTAGAAACTTAGAAGAGGCATGCTGGGATGCATTAAGTTCTAAGTATAAGGCTTGGACATTCAAAGGAATCTAGCAAGCTTTAGTTCATGGATATAATGATAAAAGAAATGTGGTTGAACCAGGCACTGGTGGCTCTCGCCTGGAATCCTAGCTACACAGCAGGCTGCGATCTGAGAATCTTGGTTCAAAGCCAGTCCATGCAGGAAACTGAGACTCTTATCTCCAATTAACCACCAGAAAACTGGAAGTGGTGCTGTGGCAGAGCACTCATCTTGAGCTGAAGAGCTCAGGATAGCATCCAGGCTGGGAGTTCAAGCTCCAGGACCAACAGGGAAAAAAAATGTGGTTGAGGGGCTGGAGCTCAGTGAAAGAATGCTTACCTAGCATATACAAGGTCCTGGACTCCATCTCCAGCACCCCACACCCTCTCCCCACCCCGCCAAAAAAATGTTTTCTCTTTTTCACAACTTTTTTGTTTGTTTGTTTAAGTGGTACCAGGGAATCAAACCCAGGACCTAATGTATGCTAGGCAGGCACTCTACCACCAAGCCACATTCCCACCTTGTTTTCTCTTTTTGACTAAGAATGTCTGTCTTTTTTCATACAGTAAGATGACTTAGCCCATCCACTGATAGAATGTGTTTTAGAGGGTGTTTTAAGGGAGTCTGTTTTTAAACCCTCCCTTTCTCCCTCTCTCCCTCCTGTCTTCCTTCTCTCCTTTTTTCCCCTCCTTTCTTGCCTCCCCTCTTTTCCCCCTCCCCTTCTAGTGTTACTAGGGATTGACTTTAGAAATTTACACTTAGGAGACAGGCACTCTACCATTAGAACCATACCTCTGGCACTTTTTGATTATTTGGAGGACAAATTCTCATGTTTTTACCCCTGCTTACCTGGACCATAATCCTATTTACATTTTCCCAGAGATGCATGCCACCACATCAAATTATTGATTGGAATGAGGTCTGCTGACTTTTTTCCAGAGTCGGCCTTGATTTATAATCCTACTGTTCTCTGCCTCACAAGTGGCTGGAATTACAAGCATGAGTCTCCAAGCCTGGCCCATTTGTTTTCTTTTTGGATCAGCCTCTCAAACAATTGGCAGAAGCAAACAGAACTTGGCATAGGGGACAGTTTCCAATCAAGGAAGGCTCTACTCCCAACTTTGAATTCATTAGCATAGTGTTAAAACATCCAAGCAGTCTAATGAAGGGTCTGAGTTTAAACCCAGGGCTAAGCCCCAAGCTATACAATCTACTTACTTGATTTTATAAGACATAAAACCCAAGAACAAAGAACTCACATGTCCTGGCTTTCCCTTCAGTTTTCTGTCCATCCTTTAAACAACTTCTTGGTAGTCTACAAATAAGGTTCCTATCTCTCTTCTGCCTCTTCCTCTTCAGTGAGGCTGATATTTCTGTGGTCAAAAGCTGTACTTTTTTTTTTTTGGGCCTGAACTCTGGGCCTGGGCGCTGTCCCTCAGCTCTTCAACTCAAGGTTAGTGCTCTACCACTTGAGCCACAGCGCCACTTCCAGCTTTTTCTGCTTATGTGGTGCTGAGGAATCGAACCCAGGGCCTCCTGCATGCAAAGCAAGCACTCTACCACTGAGCCACTTTCCCAGCCCTAAAGGCTGCACTTTTGAAGGCTGTGAAAAGTGAACACATGGGTTATGAGAAAAGAAAAACAATTATGGGGCTGGTAAGGTGGTAGTGGTAGAATGCTTGCCTAGCATCCACAAAGCCCTGGGTTCAATTCCTCAGTACCACATAAACAGAAAACACAAAAAGTGGCACTGTGGCTCAAGTGGTACAATGCTAGCCTTGAGCAAAAAAAGATGTTCAGGGACAGTGTGCAAGCCCTGAGTTCAAGCCCCAGGATTGGCAAAAACAAAAACAAAAAACCCAACAACTATTCCTTCATTGAACTGGTACCTCTTAAATGAGTGCAAGCTAGGATAGGCTTTACAACCTTAGAAGCCAATTTAAGTACGAAGCATAGCCACTTGAAATCTGTATTAAGTCATCACTGCTACCTCCAGGGAATAATACAGACATTTGGATTGAAAGATGAAAGGGAGTTCATCATTAAAGCTACAACTCATGGCCTGAAAATAAAGATCTATGTCCCACAATAACAATGCTTCAACCATAGTGTAGCTTTTAACAATGGAATGAGCACCAATCAGGTATTTTAGAAATGTTCAAAACAGTTACTCAGCAGCCACAATGCTTGACATTAGTTTCCTGCTTATAAAAATACAACATTTACTTTGATCTATAAAGCCCACTGCCCTGTGGATATACTTCATATGTAGAATAACTACCAGTGGTTCACACCTGTCAGCTTTTCATGAGGCTGCGATCTAATGTTTGTGGTTCAAAGTCAGCATGGGCAGAAAAATTTATGAGACTTATCGCCAATGAACCATCTAAAAGCTGGAAGTGGAGCTGTGGTTCAAGTGTTAGAGCACTAGCCTTGAGCAAAAAAGCCCAGGGGCAGCACCAGGACCAGCACAGACACAAAAAAGTTCCCTGCATTAAAGTGAATATAATTAAACACAGAGATTAGGGCTGGGAATGTGGCTTAGTGGTAGAGTGCTTGCCTAGCATGCATGAAGCCCTAGGTTTGATTCCTCAGTACCACATAAACAGAAAGAAAAACAAAAAGCAGGAAGTGGCACTGTGGCTCAAGTGGTAAGAGCAAAAGAAGTTTAGGGACAGTATCCAGGCCCTAAAGTCAA